TTATCGCTCCTTGCAAGTCATATTAAGTTTGTGTTTTACAGGTGACACGGCTAATCTGAATGCATTCTTCATTTTGATACACATCAATCATCAAAAAAAAACCCCTCATACCCATATATTCTATACAAACTTCGCCATTTCAGGTTTCGTGTCACGACTTTCTCCACCCCCAACCCCCTGCTACTCAGGCGCCCACTCTGGATCCTCTCGACTCTTAATAACCTCATGCACACTCAGCCTCTGCTCCACAATCTCCCTCCCATTAACCAAATCATTCTCATCCGCCCTCCGTGCCGCCTCCTCCTCATCCCTCGCAATTCCCGCCTTAACATGCCGATGAATCAACCGCTTACGCGCGACTTCAAAATCCACATCAACAAACCACAACTCATCCATTAGCTGCGCAGCATCGCGCCAAGGCGACCTGTCCAGCGCACAGTAGTTGCCTTCGAAAACGGCGATGCGGACAGAGGGCGCAATGGCGATGTCGTTCTCAACAGGATCTTTTCGCGCGTGGTCGAAGCTCGGGGCGTATAGCGTTGCCGTCTCGGGACAAATGGGGTCACGCAGTTTCTTGACGAGAGAGAAGAAAGAATCGCCGTCGAAAGTAAAAGCTGCGCCGCGCCGGTCATGGGCGCTGTGCGGGTCGGGCATTGCGTCAAGTTGGAGGCGGGAGAGGTGGAAGCCGTCCATGGGTATGAAGGCGGAGATGGGGTTGCTGTTTGCGGTGCCTGGGGACTGCTGGGCGTGTTTCTCGTTGAGTTTGGTGGAGACCATGGTTGCTAACGTGGTTTTGCCTGGTTGTTTTTTTCTTCCTGTTAGATTGGGAGAGGGCGGCTTGGGGGTGCGTGTGTAAACGTACCGGATCCGGGGATTCCTGAGATGGCGATCATTAGACGTTTGGATGCTGGGATGTCCTGGTACTTCTCTGGGTTGATTTTAGTACACGATCTAGAGTTGAAAGGCAGATGTTCAAATACCCCAGGTTTTGTTTACCAAACGCTCTACTTGCTCGTTCATGTTGCCGATGTGTAGTACGTTTGTAGTAGTGTTAGGTTAATGGTGTACAATGTGAATTGTTCTACAGAATCTTTGTTCGCTGCTATCCTAGGGTCAAACAAAGTCATGGGCCTATCAATGCGGGAAGTCGGCGCTTTTCATCTTATGCATTGTATGCGTACCAACATGCAGATTGTGGGGGTCTCGGCATGGTGGATCTATGTCGGATCTGCTGACGTCGCGCGGGGGGAAGAGCGGCTGTTTACCGCGGCGAGACTCTACCCCAGCTCTAGATATTGCATCATCACGGCCGAAACATACACACTCTACAAGCATGTATGGCGTGGAACAAAAAAAGAACCTGCTCGTGTGAGTGGTCCATGGGCGGCTATCGGGGATGCGGAACATGTCGATCATGGGCAGGTAATCATTGAATTCGCTGCTTCTGTATGGTTCAATATCCTCCCACGGCAATCCCCAGGATCTGGACATGGTGAGCAAAGCGTATTATGTGTCTTATCGCGTGCAATTGATTTGCGGCCGAAGTTGATTCCTGGCGAAGGATGCATTCTACTGGGCAATGGCGTCACTTCTGCTCCACAAGAGGGTGCTTTGGCCAATCACCAAAGGCGTAGCTTGAGGACAGTTGTGGCTGGGCATTCACGTCCGCAAAAGCCATTGTATTGCAAAGCAGCCACCAGTGACTACTGTGTAGAGACGCGGGAAGAAGATGACCTAAAGTATTGTACTATTTCAATTCGGCCGCTACGCTTACATTCATTTGGCCGAACGCGTTAGTACGCGCTGACACGCGTCAATCTACACCATGCTTCCCCGGGCTTTCCTTGCCCTCGTACTGGCTAGCGTTTCATCAACATCCGCCACTGTCGACGAAAACCCCTCTACGAATACTCAGTCGCTGCTATGGGGCCCCTACCGGCCGAATATCTATCTGGGGCTCCGTCCCCGGGTACCCAAAAGTGTCATCGCAGGTTTAATGTGGGCGAGACTAGAAGACGTGGGGATGAGTAAGTTGAGATTGACATGGGTCAATTGCAATGCTGACAAGATGTGCAGCGCTGCGGCATAATGTAAACCAAAGCGAAGACATAGCACGATATGGCTGGACTGCATACGACACACGAGAAGGTGGCCAGCAAGTCATAGAAGATGATGACAATAAGGTCAACATCACGACAGAATTCATGAAGTATTCTGAAGGGCAGCACCAGGGCAACTGGGGCTTGAGGGTTAAGGGAATGCCGAGATTCGATGCGCCTCCTGATTTGAAGACGACCGTCATCTTCTACCTGGGCATGGAAGAGAAGGAAGCTTGTACCCATTGCAGGTTAGATGCTCGCCAACAACTGGGAGAGGGCGAGGATACATCTGTCCACGCCGTGAACATGAACCTTGTTCACCCAAAACTGGGCGCCTCTGGAATACACATTCCCGTTCCCATAAACAGTGATGGACACCGCGAGATAGCATTCGTCAAGTCCCTGAATGTGACAGAGGATCGATTGTGGCAAGCCAAATGTACGTACTCGAGATACCAGACTTTCTTCTGCCTGTTACCATGATTCACCATCTTGATGTGAACGGCTGGCTGATCATTTTGCCTGCAAGAAGCCACTTTCTTAAATACCCTGAAAGACCAAACAAAGGACCGAAAGGAGCCTGGACCAACCGATATTGTTATTCATGATGCCCCAGGTGCAGGAAACATGCATTTCGTGCAGATGGTTCTTCATGGAGAGTTTGAGGTAAGTTATTACGGCAGAAGGTTATGGACTACACTAACTCCACCAGTTTGATATTCTCTATTCCACCGAAACAGCAAAACGTACCATGACCTGTGAGTTTGATCCTACCTGCTAGAATCTCATCACTACAGCAGGTCCTAATCTTTACCAGCTGCAAGCCTTACTACAGATCTAGAGAAAGCCATGCAAACGTTCGGTAAGAACTTTCTTTCGGTCTTCAATCCGACACCACCATTCAAGACCTTTGAGCATCTAAGTTTCTCCAAAAGTGTCTTCTCTGATCTACTTGGTGGTCTTGGATATTTCATTGGTAGCTCCAAAGTCGTCACGGCGAAAAAAGCCATCTACGCTGAGACCACGGCCAACTTCTGGGAAAAGTCTGCGGATGCGAACAAACACACAACGCCAGAGACGAAAGGTCCATACGAGCTTCTCACGCATACGTCATCCCGTGCAGCATTCCCACGAGGTTCTCTATTTGATGAAGGCTTCCATCTCCTTCTCGTACTCGAATGGGATGCAGACCTTGCGTTGGAGGTGGTGCGTGACTGGCTCTTTCTAATGGACGACGACGGCTGGATCGCACGAGAGCAAATCCTAGGCTCCGAAGCTGAAGCCTCTACACCCCCAGAATCTATCAATCAATTCCCTCACATTGCCAGCCCCCCAACAATGTACTTGGTCATCTCGAAATTCGTAAAGATGCTCAGGGGAACAATCAAATACCACGGCCGTCCCTCCGTCTACCTCTCCAAGCCCGAAACCGGCAAAGCCCTTGTAATAAAAATGCAACCCCTCCTCAAACGTCACTACGAATGGTTCCGAAAATCGCAGTCAGGAGACGTAGAAGCCCACTCCATCCCCTCGGCCAACCTAAACGAAGGCTATCGCTGGCGCGCCCGAACCCCAGGCAAAAACACCGCCAGCGGTCTATCCGACTACCCACGCGCCGAGCCCCCCGACCTCACCGAACTGCACCTCGACGCCCTATGCTGGGTCGGGGTGATGGGCCGCACCCTCGAGCAAATTGCCTTCTTCACCGAAAACGCACACGATGCATTCACATACCAAAAGCATGTGCGAAGCATAAAACGCAACATCGACACTCTGCACTGGGACCCCTCCAGCTCCCTCTACTGCGACTCCATCGTCCAAAACGCACGTCACAGCTTCACCTGCCACAAAGGCTACATCTCCCTCTTCCCCCTCCTAACCGGACTACTCGACCCATCCCACCCACACCTCCCTGCCGTCCTCGATTTACTAAGAGACCCCACGCATCTCTGGAGCCAACAAGGAATCCGCAGCCTCAGCCCGCAAGACCCAGCATACGCTACCGAGGAAAACTACGCACGCTCGTCCATCTGGGTGAATTTCAACTACCTCATCCTAGACCAGCTCTTGCGTCTCGCACAGACTAAAGGACCAGAACAAGCAAGAGCACACGACACATACATCCTCCTCCGCAAAAATCTAGTCAAAACAGTGTACAAAGCATACCGCGACACGGGCTTCGTCCATGAACAATACGATTCCGCAAGCGGCAAGGGGGTGCGGGAAAGGGGCTGGACGGGCTGGACGGCGCTCGTCGTGCTGGTTATGAGTATGCCGGATTTGGAGTCGCAGCAGGGGGTCGGCGGCCAGGTTAAGGGGTATGTGGAGGAGGTTAGGAAGCAGGCGGTGGGTCATCCGCGGATGGATGCCGGGGGTGTGGTGGTGGTTTTGGGGGTGCTGGTGTTTGTGTATGTGACTAGGAGGAGGTTTGCGGGGACGTTGAGGGGGTTGAGGAGGAATTGAAGAGGGTGGGGGTTGTGAATGGTGAGTTGGGGTGGTTTGCGGTTTCGGATGGGTGATAGAGTTTTTGGATTCTTTTTATCATTTGGTATTTCTTTCTGGCAGGAAGTTGGTGTTTATTTAGATAGGTCTATGTGCCAATGTTGCGATTCTTAATTCTATGTGTTGATGTATCACATAGAATTTTCTCGTGACCACTGATCGGCATGTCAAACTTCGTCTTTTCTTTCGAGTGGCTAGAAGTAGTTTTCCATGTATTGATTCTCTACATGAACTAGTATTCCATATGCATCCTTCTAGAATGCCCGTCACACGTGCTCACACCAGTATGCCTTCCTATCCCCGTGAGGCCCATCATCTTGAACTACAACCACCTTGGTGTTGCCACTGAGCCTAGGGCTTAATCAACTTCCCATCGTTTCCTCCCAAAGAACAATATCCTCAAATCTTGCGCTCAACAACCACGCATTTCCGTATTAGGCTGGTGTCGCCGATGCCGTCGTAATCACACCATGTAACCACTCCGCCGGAGCCAACCAACTGGACTGCCAATTTCTTAGCTTCGCGCATCAACTGTTGATTAGGACTTCCCTGCTCAGTCCCATAGCAGACCGTGACGTCGATGGTAACTTTTTGAAACCTTCCCTCCCGATACGGAGTCCAGTCTGCCAAGAAGCCTATCCGCTCGCCGCCTCTCCAAGAAGACGCCTGAATAGGATTCTCCACCCAGCGACCCCAGCACAGCTCAAGGCATACATCCGTTAATCTCAGGTCTTTCAACGCGCTAAGGAAGTAATGTTTGCGCAGAGGACGCCAAATGGCAAGTCCGCAAGAGCCACGCAGCCATGAGACATCCAGCCACCCCTCAGTACGACTTAAGTAAATGTTACGAATGCCATTGTTGGAAATAACAAGTGGGTTGGGCGCTTCATCCATGGCTCGCTCCGGCCATCCAATCTTTTGCACTACCCTTATAGTATGCGTTCGTGCAATGAATTCTACGACTTCGTGCAACGTCTGTTTGCAAGTCAATATCCATGAGGGAAGGCCCCTGGGGCCGTCTAGGTCATATGATCCCCAGTGGAGCATAGGAGATGAGGCACAAAGGAGCAGTATAGCTTTCCAACGGAACTCCATCCCATTGTCCTCAAAGATAAAGGTGTAGATTTGCTCGCGGATCTCCTGAGGCAACTTGAGGAATGTGTTCTGAGGCTCATCTGACGTGGAGGCAGCGACGGCTCTAGCATTTTCCGCCAGCCGTCTACGCTTCGCAGCCCGAGTGGCGACCATATTGTAATGGCTCAATCCTGTCGGCTTTGTTGATGCAGTGTTGGCTGTTGAGAAGAGGTTGTGGTGGAAGTGGGTTGAAGTAAGAAAGTATCAGGGTGAACGTTGGGCAACTTTATATACCCCAAGGAATGGTCATGGCAGGTCTAGCCCAGAGTGGTACGTCACGAGACAGATAGAGGCCTCTGTTCACTCTCATCTGCTGAGAGCCACAGTGTCTGGAACCTTGAACCATGCGACAGAGGTGATCCCTGGGGGAAGCGTGAACGGCTTAGTTGATTTCATTCAGAACTACGCGTAGCGAGGTCAGATATGTATGAAATATAGGAGACTGGAGATGCCACCTAGAGACCAGTCAGTGCGTAGGTAAAATCAATTTGCGCTCCAGCTCGGAGGCGTTAGATGAAAGGAAAGGAGCAACACAGCAAACCATTTATTTGTGAGGCTTTATCCGCGATGAGCCCCGTGAGGCGTATGTTAAGTGACACGTAAAGGTATCGGGATAGCAGCATAGTGGTGGTGGGAGGGGATCAGTTCTCTAGTTCGCGGATGAGGCTCGTATGTTGCAGTGAGCCCGCTGCTTCCTAAAAGATCGAGAAGGCGTACTATTTAGTGACGCCAACACTGATACAGTTCAGGTCGTAGCAACAGTACAATGCATTCTTTAAAGAAGCTGGCGGGTTCCTGAAATCGTCAAATTGATTGCAACGACTATGGCAGCAAGAGACAGCAAACATCTCTACTGAGGGAACGGTAATCATAAAAAGCTGCTTGTACAAGTGCCAAGACCATACACACCAGATGAATGAAACGTGTCTGTAATCATATTGCTATGATATCTTCTACTTTGATAGGCGTACACACCAAAAGCCACATCGCGAAGCTTGAGAAAACTTCAAAAATCCACCTAGAACAAGCTCCAGGAATTCCCCCTTATTCATCAACCGATGGTCAAATGTACTGCTACATGAGAAGTGAAGGTTGCTTCCATGCACCGGAGTTTGTTACTTGTAGAAACTGTTGGCCGGCGGGCGCTGTGGTTCCGAAAACAATAGCCTCGGCTGACATGGGAAGGCTGTCCCGAACTCCGTGTCCAATTCCACAAAAAAGAGAGAATAGACCAGGTCATTGGAGGGTGCGTAAAGATACATTTTGGGCACCGTCATCCAAAGTTGCGCCAAATGAGTGCAAAGGAAGGGGAGCGCGCAAGAATCTGACATTGCAAAGGCCCGATTATGCCTTGACAGGGCCACCCTGGGCGTCCTGGGAAATATCGTTTTCGAACTCCGAAGCCGAAGTTTCCCGGTTCAGGCTTGTCTCGCGGTGCAAAAATGTGTGCTCCTTGACGGGGCTGCTAGCCAAATCACCCTGCGAGGCAGTGGCGCTGTTGCCATTGCTGTTGACGGAGCCATTTTGTCCAATAGGTGTGGAGGGGGCGATGTGCGGGATCTTCTCGGGATTGGGGTGCTCGCGACCGACTTGTGTGACACCGACGTCACCAGCTTTTCCGGCTTTGGAGAGAGCATAGTCGCCACTGTCAAAGTACTTGCGCTCCTGTGGATAGTTGTTAGACAAAGGATCGGAGACTGGCATGCTGAATCGGGGAAGTAACGCACCTTGAGCTTGTTCTGGAGAAGGTCCTTCTTGTTGGGCAGCTTGCCGTAGAGGCGGAAGAGCTTGGCCTCCTGCTCGGACAGTTTCTATTCCTGCAGTGTTAGCTGTGGTCGTTTGCGGAGTAGAGGTATGCAAGAATTGCTATGACGTACGCTAACATCCACCTTGTTCTGCTGGTGCGGGTTCATGATGGCGGTATTGAGGGTTGTATTGTTGTGGTGCTGTGGATTGCAGGCGATGATGTTGTCGGGAGGGGTAACTGCTTGGGAGAGATGCAGACAGAGGATGATATGAGCTCGTTATGGCGACACAATAAGGGATGGGCAGGCGCAAGTTATTTAATAGCACAGTCGGGTCCTGTTGGGTTGGGCTGGGCTGGCCAATTTGGGCGAGTACTGTCGACGGCGATGTGACAGGGACAGGGCGAAGTCTGGTGTGATTGCACGCCCTGACGATTGGGTGTCGAGACGAAGCTCGGACCTGGCTCGTTCGTGCTGCTGCTGCCCACAGTGCCTGACAACGCACAACGGTCAGCGTACTATGACTCGTCTGGTCTAGATTTATGGCTGCTGCAACGGCAGTGCCTGGATGATGGAAGTGGTGGTGTTGGTAGTAGTTGTGGTGGAGATGGGATGCCCCTCTATCCAGTATGCGATAAGCCTTAGTCGCCCGAGGTGCCGAATGCTGGACGGTGCGCGTAGTCAATCGAGCAAAGAGACGACGAGCTGCAGACACTGGGGCAAGAGACGGATGGAATGCAAGTCACAGAGCAAGACAAAAAGTGCAGAACAGGCGCGATTTATGGACAAAGGCGGGCGGTGGGCGTTGTGGTAGATGCGTGGGTTTAACGTTGGAGAGGCCAAGCCGAGGAGGGGTAGATGCAGCAGATATGTATGTAGGCGTAGGCAATGCAGTGGGCCGGGTCCAGCTATTGCTATTTTCCAAGGGCCGTGGCTGGATATGACGGGTTAATTGATGCGGTAGGCACAAAGCAATTCAGGGAAAAGAAGCCGTTGCCGCGAAACCATCGTGCTTGGTCACTCAATTACCCTCTGCCCTAGCCCACCAACCCTCTTGCGGCGTGCGGGTGCGAGGCACACGACGGATTGCCCCAGCCCTTACCACACTGAGCACCCGCACAACGTCACGCGCCGCCTGACTTGGCCTCTTGGGCCCCTGAGATGGCTGAATCGAGGTGCCGTTGTCGATTCGCCTTGCCGTCGTCGTCCTTCTGTCAATTGTATCATGGCAATGGTGTGCTTTTGGTTGGCACCGCGCGACCATGCTCCCCCCCGCATGTAATGGTGCATCCTGACTTTGCTCTGATAGGCTGCTCCGCTCTGCTAGTCTCGCCATCTATCAAATCCTGACGGTCACCCTCCCACCACCATGCAATCCGGCTAAGCCAAGTGCTGTTGCAGAGTTCCGAATCTCACCCTCCGATCCGAACCCAAAGCAATCATCGCTGAGGCGTCGAGCCAGACAAGGTCTGCCCCGCCCGTGGCGGTCCTTTTTTTTCGCTTAGCACATGCTGTGAAATTCTACGCCAGAAAACCACTGTAATACTCGGGTCGCAGTCTTTTCCACAACTCCCTCCAATCACAGGCAGAATGGCGAGCACTGGCAAGACTTTTGTAGTAGAGCATCTCGACCCGGAACTCGAGGAATGGTCGTCCTTGGAATACTCGGCCATTGCAGCAGAGTGCCACGCTTCGGGCGCTCAATTCTTACTTTCTTCCGTCCCGACTTCCTTGACCTTGCCTGCCAACCTCCAGGGCGCAAAGGGGCTCCAAGTCGAGACTAGGGGAATCGAAGAGATATATGCCGACAAAAAGGATAAAGTATGCTTGCTCGATCCAGCAGCGTCCAAGGACCTGAGCCCAGAAGACGGTGACACTTTTGACATTTTTCTCTTCGGCGGTATCCTGGGTAAGCACACGTGATGCCTTCAACCACCGTTTATCCGAGAAGCCATGAGCTGACGCCGCCTAGGAGACGATCCACCCAGAGGTGTGTGATGCCGCAACCGCCGGGCCGTGCACTCTCCGTCAGCTAACAGCCTGCATGTAGACCGCACTTCAGAGTTGCGCAAGAAGGGATATCAAGGCCGTCGTCTAGGTCCAGTACAAATGACAACCGACACTGCAGTCCGTGTGACTAGGATCTGCGTCCAGGACAAGGGTACGTCATCCATGCTCGTCACAGATGCTGGCTTTGTGGATGTGAGATGCTCATGAAACGCAGTACCCGTCGACCAGATCGCATATATAGACCACCCAGATCTGAAGATCAATAAGAATGAGAGCACACAGATGCCATTTCGCTATGTTAAGGGCAACGATGGACAGCCTATTATGCCCGAGGTACGCATTGCCGCACATGCCACGTTTCGGAGGCAGGATGAATGGCACTGACTAGATCATCAGGGCATGCGTGATCTGATCGTCAAGGACTCGGCCAAAAGCCTAAACGATCTCTTTTAGACAGGATGGGACCAGGCGTCAGGCCCAGCCTCGAAGCCGCAGCCGGGTCCGGGGCTGGCAGCATGGGAAACATCCATGCGCCACTGTGGCACGCAGTGTTCGACGACAATAGACACGTACCGCTTCCGGGAATGTTTGTTAGCATTAATAACAGCAGTCTGCGTCCTTCATAGGCTCCGTGGTGTAGCACTGGCGGGGGCTCGAGAGCTCAACCAGACCCTGGGGAGACGGGCCGATTAGAGGGCGACAATGCTCCAGAACCCTTTCCGCATGTCCGTGGCAAGGTAGTAGTAGTAAGTGAAGTAGGATGGTGTCGACAGCCAAGGCAGTCACAATAGTAGTAATGGTACTTGGCTCGATAGTGCGAAAGAAGCCTTTGCCGTGAGCTTCCATGCTGCGAAACCCTTGGAATGCGGGACCGAAGCTGCATGTTTCCGTAACAGGCAACACGAGCGCAGAGACGCGTGTTCCAATGGCCATGAAGGCAGGCCGCGTGCAAGCCTCAGGCCAAAAAGAAGAGTGTGATACGTGGTTGAAGCAAGTGGAACTGCCCAGGTGTATCAGATGCAGCGCGCACTGCGTGTCTTTTCGAGACGCGGAGTTGGAGAGAGCCGGAGAGGGAGGCGCTGTCATTGGCTGGCCTACACCAAGGAACCACGGCCGATGCGCCAAAGACGTGCTCCATAGCCATGTTCATATCCCTACTGGTATCGTGCTGTATTCTTGACCACTTGTTTTTTTTCTTTGTCGCTCCAGCCAGACCAGCGGTCAAAGAAATCCCTTCTTTTGTTGCTTTGCTTTGCTTTTGCTCCTGCGTAGACTGTCTCGCGTATCTGAATATTACCGCCGTCGAGGCCTGGACTGCCCCCCTTGGTATTGGACCCCGATTTACAGGGACCCCGTCAGCCGCCCATTAGCCACCTATCCTACATTCTTCATATCCGGACTCTGCTACAGCCCCGACAACCACACCCGACCGTACAATACCTGCGGGCACATTCCATCTACCCACTGCCCACCCCTCTCCACTCCCTCCCCATATCCCTCCCGTCGGCCCATGAGGTAGTCGCAGCGCGCACCGCAACCTCCGCGGCCTTCCATCTCGACACGCATACGCGGCCCCAGTATGGCCTCCTCACATCCACCGTCGCGATGGCGAACAGCCTTGCTCGGCGGCCTCATCGCCACCGTATCATGGCTGCCCAGCATAATGGCAGCAGAAAAGACACAGGCCGACTACTTTGTGCGCAAACTCCCGGGTGCGCCAGAGCCGCTATTGAAGATGCACGCAGGGTAAGCACGCCGGCAATGGCAAAAACCATGGCCAGTCTAACCATCCCACAGGCACATTGAAGTAGACCCCCAAAACAACGGACACCTCTTCTTCTGGCACTACGAGAACCGCCACATCTCCGACAAACAACGCACAGTATTATGGCTGAACGGCGGCCCTGGCTGCTCTTCCATGGATGGGGCCATGATGGAAGTCGGCCCTTACAGAGTCCGCGAAGGTGGCCACCTCGAATACAACAATGGCTCTTGGGACGAGTTTGCCAACCTGCTCTTCGTAGACCAGCCCGTAGGCACTGGCTTCAGCTACGTGAACACGGATAGCTACCTCACCGAGCTCGACCAAATGGCTGAGCACATGATTACCTTTCTCGACAAGTTCTTCACCCTTTTCCCCGAATACGAGAACGATGATGTGAGTAGACGAAACATCGTCATGCAGTACTTTTTACTAACGCATGACAGTTATACATTGCCGGTGAATCGTATGCCGGACAGCACATTCCCTACATCGCCCGCGCCATCCTCAAGCGAAACAAGATCAACGCCGCCAAAAATCCATGGCCACTCAAGGGTCTTTTGATTGGAAATGGCTGGATTTCGCCAGTCGACCAATACCTCTCATACATTCCTTTTGCCTACCAGAATGGCCTCATGCAGAGCGGCACAGATTCGGCCAAGCGCATCGAAAGCCAGCTGAAAGTCTGCACGGAAAAGCTCAGTGATGGCGGCATGGACAGAGTGGATACACCAGAGTGTGAGCAAATCATGGTCAGGATCCTGGAAGAGACCAAGAACACAAAAGCAGACGAGATGAACCAGTGCGTCAACATGTACGACATCCGCCTGCGCGACGACTCTTCTTGTGGAATGAACTGGCCTCCGGATCTTTCCCTGGTTACCCCCTATCTCCGCCGACCCGATGTCATCCAAGCACTCCACATTAACCCCGACAAGAAGACTGGCTGGCAGGAGTGCAATGGTGCTGTTTCTAGCCACTTCCGTGCTAGGAAGAGTGATCCCTCTGTCAAGTTCCTACCTGAGGTTATTGAGCAGGTTCCCGTTCTGCTGTTTTCAGGTGACAAGGATTTGATCTGCAACCATGTCGGTACCGAGGCCATGATTCAGAACCTCAAGTGGAATGGCGGAAAGGGCTTTGAGGCTTCCCCGGGCGTTCAGAACGCGAAGTCAGATTGGATGTTCGAAGGAGAGCCCGCTGGAACCTGGCAGGAGGCGCGCAACCTTACCTACGTCGTCTTCTACAACTCGAGCCACATGGTTCCATTCGACTACCCGCGACGCACTCGAGACATGCTTGATCGCTTCATGGGCGTCAATATTGAACAGATTGGCGGTGCTCCTGCCAACAGCCTCATCAACGGCGAAAAGGGACCCCTGACGAGCGTCGGTGATCATCCCAACTCCACAAAGGCCGAAGAAGACAAGAGCAAGGAGCTCAAAGCAGCAGAGTGGAAAGCCTATAAGCGCTCGGGAGAGACTGCCCTTGTTGTCACTGTCATTGTCGCGTGTCTCTGCGCATTCTTCCTCTGGCGCAGTCGTCGTAAGAACGCTGAATATAAAGGTGTTGATGGCGGTGACGAAGGCCGCGAGTCCCTGCTCACCGGCATGGGCCTCGACAACTTCCGGCGACGAGACCGAAGCCGTGATGTTGAGGCGGCAGACTTTGACGAGAATGAACTTGACAATCTGAACGGTGCGAAGAAGAAGAAGAAGCTTTCGGGTAATGGCTATTCTGAGAAGGGTCGCGGACCTACCAACGACTCGTCTTTTTCCTTGGGTGCTGATAGCGATGACGACGATGAGGCGGGTTCCAGCGATGCTGGCAGGAGAAAAGAGACGTCTCGTTGAGTCAATTGCAGGGGAACAGGTATGCTCAATATGGGTATTGCAGCAGGGACATAAAATAGACTTTTTGTACTCCTCACCACATGCTGCATTACAGGCGTTTTTTGGGGATTTACAGTATAGTTGAGCTTATGGAGGTGTACATAGGCCTTGGGAATGTATTCGGGATATTTTTACATGTACCACAAGTAAACACCTTTTAAATATATTCTCTCCCCCGAGCAAACATTTTGCAGGATTCGCTAAGGCCTTGTTGAACTACATCGAACCGAACTCCGAGAAGGATTGGCTTGGCTTGTTTTGCAGTGCTTATCGTGCACTGGGTTTCGTTTCTATATCCGCAAGGAAAGAATTGTCAACGGCAGTTCTTGTTTCAAGAGTCGAAGCTTGCATATACCATGGGTGTATTTGTGTTCATTTCCTGTCAGATCTCTTGAATGACGCAAGACCAATTGACATCTCACATGTCTTACTCGTATGACACTGGAGCTATACCAACGAAGAACGCCCTGCTTATTATATCAAGAACCTTGAAAAATACATACGCCGGGGATACTTCATATCGATTTATCAATAGAATAGGCCATTCAAAACATGCGTGTTTGCAAAGCTATGACATCTGTATTCCCAGTAACCTATCCATCTACCCCACGTCTTCGCTCCCATGCGGCCCACCGTTCCGAGAAGCCGCGGCTCCACTCCGAAAGACCGTGAGTTCCCCACCAACCACGCCCTATGTACGTTTATATATACACCGTACGAAAACGCGCCCTTGGATGTACAATTCCATCTTAACCAAGCATAACCTGACAATAAACACCATCCTATATAAATCAACAATAACCAAACAACTGTGCCAACTCCCGTCTCGCACCCTAGGTCATCACCTCCCCTCCCCTCCACCTCCTTGACCTTCCTCCATAAACCGCATCCACCCGCACAGCCCCACCTACCCTCCCCGATCAAACCCCCCCTTCGCTCCATCTCCCTCCGACATCGCGCCCCAAACCCTGCTCTCTTCTCCTCTCTTCTCCAACCCGCTCAAATAACCTTCCAAGAAAAATACATGCATCACCTCCTCTTCCGCCGCACCCTTCACTCCTCCCCACAAAGTCTCACCCGCAACCTACCATCCACATTCCACAGCCGTAACGTCCACAGCCGCAACTTCCTCGCACAGCAGCAACAGCAGCAGCAGCAGCAACAACGTACAATGGCTTCGACATCGCAGCAACCGCTCCAAGAATGGCTCGTCATCGTACCCGATTACAAAGAAGCGCTGAGTAAGCGTCTCGCTGTGCGACCCAAGCATCTGGAGGGAATCAAGGGGGATAGAGAGGATTTTTGGCTTTGGGGTGGTACGTTTTCCTTCTTCCCTTGCACACTTCTTCTTCTTCTTTTTTTAAACACAGGGCTTTGGGAATTGTCGCTGACGCACAATATCAACCAACAGGCGCCATGCTCGAAGAACCAATCCAACCCGGTGACACGAACCCACCCAAAATGAAGGGCTCGGCGTGTTTGATTGGCGCTGCGACGCGCGACGAGGTTGTCGAGAGACTCAAAAAGGATGTCTATGTCCAGGAGGGTGTGTGGAATTGGGATGAGGTGCAGATTATTCCGTTCAAGAGTACGGTTAGGAAGGCGTCGTAGTGTAAATATGCGAGGGCAATAAGGAAGGGTTATGGTTATTTGGGATATGGTAGAGAAGGCGGTATTGGCTGTGTTAGCCAAAATAATCTACCCGCTATATCCCAAGTCTATTATCGGGATATATATATATATATATATATATATATATTGCTCGCGTGTATTGTGCATGTTTTGTAGACAACCAAAAGTATCGTCGTATACTTTTGTCCCTGGCTGTAGCGAGAAAACCCTCGTTAACCAAGATACTTAACAATCTACTTAACAACTTCCCCCAAGTAGATCCGTATCACTAATGGCATACATCATTCCAAGAAATCGGCATGATAAACACATTCATCTCTGTAACTGAACATTCATATACTGCATATACTATAGCGCAGTGATAACATAACAGGACCTAGCTCATAAACTCATTCCTCCATGCCTATATCATGAGCATCTCCAATCATAAAAAAACAGCGAACCTCATAAACAAAACATGGTATGAGCAACATAAAGCCGGGCGCTAAGCTCATCCATATCCCCCCCCCCCACTCATAACCAATATCCAAACAGCCACCCTCCCTTTAACCACTGCACATGACGCAGGCCTCGGGGTTTTCTATTGAGCAAGCGAGGACAGCATCAGCATAAATATCGCCATCGCGGGCCGCGCTATCGTCCTTGGAGTCTTCTTCTTGCTTGGCTTTGCTTGAAAGCTCCTCATCCTGCTTGCCAACGGCATCAGCAGCAACCATCTTTGGGCTGTCTCCCTCATCTACGTCAGCCTTGAAAGGTTTGCTGGCTAGGGCATTCTTGCTCTCTGGGGCAACGTCCGCCTTGGCAATACCATTTTCGCCGTTGGTAGCTTCCTCAGACTTGGTGGCATACATCGGTCGTGGGGCTGCTGGCGATGAAACACCAGAACTACGGATTGCCTCTGGCACGAAGCCTGGTTGCTTTCGCACCTTTGGTAGGGCACGGGCAACGTTGGTGTCTGCAACCTTGAGAGCCTCCTGGTCGACAGTGAACTGAATTGGAGCAGAGGCGGCCATGGTGCGGAGGTAGTACATGCCGGTCTTGAGACCAAGCTTCCATCCGGCAAAGTGCATCGAGGTGATCTTGCCCATGGTTGGCTCCTTCATGTGAATGTTCAGCGACTGTGACTGATCAATGAAAGCACCACGGTCAGCAGCCATCTGAATGATGGTTCGCTGCGAGATTTCCCAAACGGTCTTGTAGAGCGTCTTGGTCTCCTCAGGGATGTTGGGGATTCTTGCAATGGAACCACCCTCGGCAATAATGCGGTTCTTCATGTTCTCAGACCACAGGCCCATGTCGACGAGATCCTTGAGCAGCCATGGGTTGACAACCTGGAACTCACCCGCGAGCACACGTCGAGAGTAGATGTTAGATGTGTACGGCTCGAAGCATTCGTTGTTTCCGAGAATCTGGGAGGTCGAGGCAGTTGGCATGGGAGCGATCAACAAAGAGTTGCGTACACCATGTTGAGCAATCTTGGCCTTCAACTCTGCCCAGTCCCAGAGGTCGGTGGGGGTGACGTTCCACATATCGTACTGAAGGGTTCCCTGAGAAACGGGAGATCCCTCGTAGGTCTCATATGGACCAAGCTCCTTGGCAATGTCGCAGGAAGAAGTAAGAGCAGCGTGGTAGATGGTCTCGAAGATCTGGATGTTGAGCTTCTTGGCCTCTGCCGACTCGAAAGGCAGGCGCAATGCGAGGAAAGCATCGGCCAGACCTTGTACGCCCATACCGATAGGTCGGTGACGGAAGTTGCTGCGGCGTGCCTCCTCAACGGGGTAGTGGTTGACTTCAATGATCTTGTTCAAGTTGCGGGTGACAACCTGGGTGACCTCGTGAAGCTTCTGGAAGTCAAACTCGCCACGCTTGTAGTCAACAAAAGAGGGCAGGGCAAGAGAAGCAAGATTGCAAACAGCAACCTCATCAGGGGCAGTGTACTCGACAATCTCCGTGCACAGGTTGGAGCTACGGATAGTGCCCAAGTTCTTCTGGTTGCTCTTACGGTTGCAAGCATCCTTGTAGAGCATAAAGGGGTTACCAGTTTCGGTCTGGGCTTCGAGGATGGCGTACCACAGCTTCTGGGCGCGGACAGTTTCACGGCCCTTGTTCTGCTTCTCGTAGCTCTCGTACAGAGCCTCAAACTCATCACCGTAGACGTCAGCGAGGCCGGGGCACTCGTTGGGGCACATGAGAGTCCACTCCCCGTTCTCCTGGACACGCTTCATGAACAGATCGGGGATCCACAGAGCGTAGAACAGATCACGGGCGCGAACCTCCTCTTTGCCGTGGTTCTTGCGGAGATCAAGGAAGCCAAAGACATCGGCGTGCCATGGCTCAAGGTAAATGGCAAAAGCACCGGGGCGCTTGTTGCCACCCTGGTCGACGTAGCGAGCAGTGTTGTTGTACACACGGAGCATAGGAATGAGACCGTTTGATGTTCCGTTGGTGCCACCAATGTATGAGCCAGTAGCACGAATTCGGTGGACGTTGAGACCAATACCGCCAGCGGTCTTGGAGATCAAGGCACAGGTCTTGAGTGTATCGTAGATACCGTCAATGCTGTCCTCCTTCATATCGATGAGGAAGCATGAAGACATCTGAGGCGAGGGAGTGCCTGCATTGAACAGTGTCGGTGAGGCGTGTGTGAAGTATTTTTGTGACATGTAGTCATAGGTCTCAATGGCCTTCTCAATGTCCTCGCCGTGAATACCAACAGCGACACGCATGAGCATGTGTTGCGGACGCTCAGCAACCTTGCCATCTATGCGGAGGAGGTATGAACGCTCAAGCGTCTTGAAGCCAAAGAATTGGTAGTTGAAGTCTCGGTCGTACACTATAGCCGAGTTGAGCTCCTCTGCGTGATCCTGGATGACCTTGTACACAGAATCCGAGATCATAGGCTGGTGCTTGCCATTCTTTGGGTTGACGTATGTGTAGAGATCTTCCACGACTGCAGAGAATTGCTTCTTTGTCTGCTTGTGGAGATTTGATACAGCGATACGGGCTGCAAGGATGGCGTAATCAGGATGTGTGGTGGTCATGTAGGCTGCTGTCTCGGCGGCCTATTGTGTGTCAGGGATGGTGAGGGGTACGAGGCATGTTCACAGGCCTACCAAGTCATCCAGTTGAGTCGTGTTGACACCCTGGTAGACGCCAGAGATGACCTTCATTGTGATGGCGGCGGGGTCGACATGGTCGGGATCAAGGCCGTAACATAGCCTCGACACACGAGCTGTGATCTTGTCGAACTGTACCCGTTCTTTACGTCCGTCTGGATGCAATTGTTAGCATGGGGAGAAAGTTTGCAGCCAGGAGAATCGGAGGCGGTGAAGGCAAGTTGATACATACCACGCTTGAAGACGAACATGTTGAATTAGAAAAGTCCTACGACTAAAGGGTATCTGGTACTTGTGTATATGAAAGGAGGGTTGAGTATGAAGAAGAGCGTGCAGACCAGGAGGGGTGAGTGGGTGCAGGGACTTATAACGCGCTTGGAGGGTCTGAAAGAAACGCGTCGCGTTGCTTAGGTCACGGATTAGTGTTAAGTGCTTGCATAATCCACGGCGATAGTAAACGCAGGGGTGGGGTCGGGTAAACGCCGGCTGGCCGCCCGAACTTTTCGTGGGTTGGAGGTATTGCATACTGCGACAGCATCCACGTCCTGCACACCCTCTCCCCACGCCCCAGTCGACCCAATTGCCCGTCATGGCGGGCGGTCATATGAAATATCGCCATCTCAGCCGGTCGTCGTCGCACCGCCAGGCGCTCCTGCGAAACCTCGTCACATCGCTCTTCAAGCACGAAACCATTGCGACGACATGGCACAAAGCAAAGGAAGCCCAGCGGTTAGCCGAGAAACTTGTCACACTTGGAAAGAAAAACACAGAGGCTACGAGGCGGAGGGCGATGCAGATTTTCTATGTATGGATGGCCGGGAGCAGCAACAGCAATAGCATACTGACAGGCGTCAGGAACCGAACGAGATGGTACCCAAGTTATTTGGCCCTATAAGAGAACGATATGCAAACAGACCCGGTGGCTACACGCGCGTTCTTCGAATTGAGCCCCTCAAGGAAGATCAGGCCGAATCCGCTATCCTCGAACTCGTTGATGGACCAAAAGACATGCGCTTTGCTCTGACAGCAAAGACGCTAGCACGGAGGCCCGCAAAGCTGGGCCTGACCCCAGGACTTACGACACACGTCAAAAAGGTCACGCAATTCCGTGAAGGAGGCGTTGAGAGCCTACGCGAAATGGTTGAGAGGTTGCGGGTAGAGCAAAAGGAGGGCATAGACGACAGGATATTACCGCCACCACGAAAGGTATATCCCGAGGAAAAGATGAAGCGAGATATGCATTACTCGGAGGATATCGACTACTATAAGCCAGCAAATCCTGTGAAGCGAAGAAGTGCCAGGAAAGAGCCAGCAAAGCAGGAGCTGATAGAGGAAGTTGTGGTGGAAGAGCAGGCAGCGGCCCCAGAGACCAGGAAGGAAGTGTCATGAGGGTTCAGCAGCCTATGTATAACTTATCAATGTGCAATATTACCTCGACATGGAGGACACATTTGACTGAGCAGCTGAGCAAGCCCGTGTATTTGGTTGGATATACCGAGTAGAACCACTCCTAGACTCGCAACGCATCAGTGAATACGCCGTTTTGAAAGTCCACAACCGTCGCCTTTTCCACGACTGCACTGGCAGCCTCTTTGAACGCCTTGTGGGCTGGATCCTCGTTCACATAGTAGTCCCGATCTTCAATCGAGTGGAACTGCAAGACGAAAGCATGACTGATGCCATTCTAACAAAGTAAGTCTCCGGGTGACAGGCCTTTTGTTGAGGGGGGTGAGCCGAGGTACCTGGAGGTTTTCTGTCGAAATGTCCCTGCCGCCTGCTACTGACACAATGTACGGTGTCCGCGAACTTGGATGCACACACTCCTTGGCCAGTGCGAAGAAGCGGGAAGTGATCTATCGGCAACCAGACTTAGTAATGGCTTCACATGTGCAGAGTCGCTGTCATCACCTCCTTGATGGCAAACGCGCTGGCGCCCTGCTTGAACTGGAACAGGACGAGGTGCGTGGTGTAGGGTACAACGGGTGCATGAGGCCCAAAGAACAACTCTGCCAGCGAGTGTCCCACGGTGCGCGAGAACAGCAGGAGACTAGTGGCGAGCAGCAGCAGCAGAACGAGGCCATATGCCTTGTTTGTTATCAGCATGGCCGCTGGGTGGTAGTAGCGCAGGCTGAGGGGCGCGAGGATATGCAGACTAGTAGATGTAGTATGTACGGGACAAAGCAAGGAACGAGAGTGGCCGACGACGACGTGGACTGGCACGGGATTCCATTGTGTTGTGGCCAGATGCCGCCAAAGGCAAGGTGTATGTTTGGGAGACGGGGGCGAGGGGGGAGGAGAGCGCTATGCCTGTTCCAAGGCATATAGCCGCACTCTAGAGTGGGTGGAAGCGCAGGCGGGCAGCGGGCAGAAGAGGTAAAAGACGGGGTACGGGTGGGCCCAAGCGCCCCCTGTTCGTGTGAGCGTGCCTGCTGCTGTCGGCCGGTTCCCCGCCTATCGACCTGTGACGTACCTGATCGCCCGCGTCGGCATCAACAACATACCCATACCGCACACGCAGCATCTGCAACAGTGCACAATGCGCCGCACGTCCACGCCCAGCCGTCGCTTTTCCGCGCCTTTCCCTCAGGCATGCTAAACGAGTCCATTTTGTCGACCAATCAGTGGCGCTCCAGTCCAGACCCGCGCAGAGTGGATGCGCATGCGTCAACTGGCGACAGCGCGCGGGCTGGGGGCAGGTTCTGGGTCCAATTGCTCGCAATGAGTGGGGCCTTGGCAGATACGTCATTGGCATGTCAGCTGCAAACATCGTGAGTACAAAAAGAAGCTTGCATTCCGTGTACGAGTGTCTTTCATCGACACTTCCCTCCAGTTCCCTCATCTTCAAACTCCCCCCATCAACACAATGGCCTCCCTTCACTGTAAGCGCCGCCCTTGCAACTGCCAATCTACACGGATCCATGCATATGGCATTGAGCATATGCATGGTGTCACGTCAGGTTGAATTGCAATGAGAACCCCTCACTGACGCCTTCTCCTTCACAGACCTCCCTCCCGTCAAGCCTTCGGCCATTGCCCTCGGCACCGCCTTCAACCACGCCGTCTCCCTGGCAGTCCTCGGCCCCATCTTTGGTGATGCCTACCGCCGCGCCCAGCAAGCAAACTCCAAGGAGGAGTACTTCCACTCCAAGGAGGCCGCTACCGCCGCCGCTTCATGGGGAAGCTCCATCCTCGGCTCCGGTATCCAGGCCTACGGTGTTGGCGCCCTCATCAACGCCACCGGCACCCTCACCTACAAGGGCGCTGCCTACCTTGGTTCTTTGATCTTCTTTGCTTCTGCTGCCCCATCGGTAAGCCACATCATGTGATACGGTAGCTGCAAGGATACATGAGCTAACATGCATGCAGATTGTCTCCCAAGTCGTCACTGAGAAGCGCCCCATTGACACAATTGCCATTGGTGCCGTTGCCCGCGTTCTCGAGACTGTCGGCCTCAGCATGTTCCTCACCTACTGGGGTACCCGCACCAACCCCTTCGACTAAGCGCCTCATAGCGTTCCCCGTAAAAAGGGCACAAGGTGTCTAGGGATTCTGCTCCGTCTGCAGCTTGATTGAGCAGACTGGACGCAGATGACATGACTTTTCTTAGCGGAAAGAAGCGGAAAATTAGCCTTTTCTCTATGATGTAATATAATACCATCAATGAACAATGTAATTTTACTCGACTGTTTTGTCTAACATGGGGTGGTGATATGGCGAGGAGTTTGAGTGATGGCCTTGCACAAGCGGTTTGTGCGAGGTACATGTGAGATTTCGTCTGCTTGCTTGAGCAGAATGACCAATAGATTGTCGTGAAGTGATCACGCAACTGAAAGAAGAGCGTGACGTGACAGGTATGATTACATAATCATTCAAGGGCGGAGCACATCAACTATGTACACATATACAATACATGGGGTATAAACCAACTCTACCTCTTCCAATCCTTCCAAGCCTGCACAAAGCTCTTTCCGCTCCCACTGTGATCCCCCAATGCACATGCTACTCTCTCTCCATCTCGCTCACCCAGGCCCACAAGCGGTACCATACTCGGCCTACCATGAGCACACATAAAGGGAAACACACACTGTGCCAGTTTCCCAACCAACTCCCTACACTCTACAAGACTCAACTCATCATTAAACATGATTGCCGAGCGACATGCGCGAGAATTGAGTAGATTGACAAGGGCAGGGGGGCAAGTCGACAAGGCACGAACCCAAGCCTTGTTCTCTTTTGTCCAATCATCATCTTCTGGGATAGAAGGGGTACCAGGAGGAGGAAGAGGAAGAGGAATACGTCCCTCGGCGTACCCCCAAACCGTCGATCGAAGCATTGAAATCAAAACCTTAGGATCCGTCACACATCGCTGAACAATTACAGGTGGGAGCGCAGTAACCAGCAGTAATGCTTCACTTTTTCCCTTATTCTTCTTCCGCGTGTCAAGAGACGCTTGGTTTGACGATGACGATAGCGGCGGTGATGATGTATCGTACAAAATACCCCAAGCAGCGAAACGCGCAGCATGCGTTGTGAAAAGAGATTGTTCTTGCTGTGACACGGTGAAACTAAGGGCTTTCTCGAGGGTCAGGGATGAGACGGCTGGTTTGTGGCCGAGTTGCGAGGAGGAGTAGACGTGAGGGGAGGAAGTGCAGAGTTGCTGGAAGAGGGATTCGACTTGGATGCGTTCGTCGACGGCGTGTTGGTCGATGAGGACGAGGATGTTGCTGCTTTGGTATGCGGGTTGCATTTTCACGAGGATGAATTTCTTGTCGACTTGAGAGATCACTTGGGCGGTTTGAAGGCCTGGCTTGGAGAGTTTGCTAGAGATGCTGGTGGTGTTTGTGTCAAAGGATGTGTCGGTGAGATGGGAGCAGCTGTGCATGGGCTGGTTGTGATGATGGCTGAGTTTGTCTTGGTTGTTTGTGATTTGCTGGATACGCTGTTCGCTAGGCTTGAAGACGGGGTTTTCCCAGTTCTGGAGTACATTGTCCAGCCAGGGCGTGGGTTTTGCTGTGGCTGTTGAGGCTCGGCTTGGCAGACGAATTGATTTGTTTATGAACTTTTGATCAGACTTGAATGAATTTGTAGAAGGGTCTGTGTTCGGTCGCGGTTGAACATTTGGCATCACGCAACCTGTCCTAGCATTCAAAACATGCGTGTTTCCAGTTGAAGGATCCGTCCATAGTATACTGTCATCATTCTCCTTTTCTTCAGCACTTGAGATTTTGTTCATAGAAGAAAGCACGTTTTGTGCCGTGGGTGCGCCGAATGCGCCTTGGGCAATAGGCTTCATGGCGAAAGAGGCGAAAGGTTCATTTCCATTAGGGCTCTGAATAGCTGCGCGAGAATTCTGATCGACACTGTTTTGGTTTCCTAGCTTGGGCCTGGCGGGTAGGGTATCGAAGAATTCGGACTTTCCGCTTTTGATACGCGACCATGTCGCAAAAGCTTGACGATGTTTTTTAGAGTGCTCATGTGAGTTCGAATCTTTCGAGCGCTTTCTCTTTCGAGTCCCTGTGCATGCAGAATTGTTCTTGGGCACCGATAACTGCCCTGGAGAAGCAGATCTTGTAACTGTTGATGAGCCGCTTGCAGCAGTCTCGCTCGACAAAATAGAAGCTGTGTCAGGCGCATCCCGTCTCTTTCGAGATTGACGGGGTCGAAAATGGTGAACGACCAGCCATTGTGTTATCATTGCCTCCAAAACATCCATGATACTCTGCAGGTTCGCTTCATTTCCCATGACCTGATCTTCAGACATGGCCATTCCATCAGTTTCTGTCAACGAAATACGGAGATGGAACATGGGGTATCGATCAATATCCTTGCGAATCTTGAGCTGTCGGTTAGTGTAGCCATCTTTCTTGAAGCGCTTATCTGACTGCCGCCGCATCTTCTCATATACATCGACAACTGCTTCTTCTTCTACAGTGCCAAAACTGGAGAGTGCAAAAAGACGATTCACATGATCGAATAACTCATTATGTCCAGAATCAGACGAAAGCGGCCGTATGCTGAGAGAAATGAATTGCACATGCTTGCTGGGGGCTGGCTCAAGGGATATGGCGCCCCTGACAGAGACGGTAGAGGTCGAGGCTGACGCTGGCACCCAAGATGACCACTCATCAATGCCAATGTAGTTGGCTTGGGTCAGGATGTTGAGGAGGGAACTCAGCTGTGCCGAACGGGCCTTTCCTATGTTTTGGTCTGTTCTAGCAGACGTGTTGAGGTTGAGAATGGGTTTGTTGTCGCCGTCTCGAATACGCACGGATACAGTGCCTTGCCAACCAAGGAGCAGGCCTGCGATGTCATGTTTCAGCCCTTCGCACATCTTCTCATATTCATCTTTCTGGGCCGCCATCACCGCCCGCTGTTTCACCCGTACTGGCATATTTCCGAATAGGTTTCGCACAGTGACACGGGTGCCATGTCTGCCATGCACCTCATGATGGGCTGACGCCGGTAACTGCCGCTCGACAACCCTAGCGTGGTGGAAAATGACCGCGTTCTGCGACCGATACTCATGATGATGTGAGGCAATGGCCAAGAAGGACATGGCAGCGAGTGCGGCGAGAAAGGTGCCATTTCGGCCAAGTAGAGGCTCCTTTGCATGGTATTTGGACGTACCTGGAGTGGTCAATATCTAGCAAGACAGCGACCAGCACCAAGACGTACAGTATAGTTTTCCTAGCCGCCCTTTGTCCGAAAATTCAAGGGGCGAGATGCCGAGTCCGTCGTCCTCAACGATGCAACCCCCACGAACAAAGTCAACAGTAGCTTCAACCCTGGTAGCTTTTGCATCCAGCGAGTTCTTGACAAGTTCTAGCACAACGCCCGCCAACGACACGATGGCGGCAGAAGACTTGATCTGAGCAACGACATCGTCGGGCAGGGGCAATATGGTTTGATCTGAGGCGTCCGGCATGGCATGTCTGGAGGGCGTGGTGGTGATAATGATGGGGATCATGACGTAGGACGGGCCTGGTGGTCGACGGCCTTGTTGGCTGTTGACCCGTGGCGGCTCATGTCCGGGGCCGCTTTGCGAACAGTGTAGGGGGCAAGGAAGGTTGGGCGGGGGTTTGTCATGACGATCTACATGCGATACGCAATCGAAGAGGCGTGAAGGACGGCAGGGCTGCTCAGTGCGGCAGGCGGCACTTGCGCTGGGGAAAGGGTCCAGCCAGCCGGAGATATCGAGTGCCTATTCCATTGCCCTTCCGCCCCCGACCGAGACAAACGCGGACCCAATCACGAGATATCAGACACGTTGCCCAGCCTCGTCAGCGCAACAGACACGCTCAAAGCCAGCATATACTACATACAGTATACTACACGCATAAAAGAACACACACTGCCGCTCTCCTTCCACGTGCTTCCATCTCGACTGCCGACACGGAACGTCGCGTCCCGCGCAGGGCCAGCCCAACCAACGACTTCACTTTCTCACCACCCGCGCTCTACTATATTCGGCCGTGGACAGCATGGCGACGGCCGAAGCAGCGTCGAGGCCCCATGGTACGGTCGCCTAGCCCAGCACAGCCATTGCCCCCGGCTGCCTCATAAAACCACCTCCTCCCGCCCTGCATTGCTCTCTTCTGCTCTGCTTGCCCTGTCTACTCCGCCCACCGACTATGCCAGATATGCTGACCAAGACCAAAGATCGCCATACGACGCGCAAGCGCCCCTTTGCCGGCTGGATGAAGCGCCTTGCCAACCTCAAGCCCTCGTCGTCCGATGCCCCCGGCAAGAAGAGCACTACCACCAAGAAAGCCCTGACCAAGAACAACCCCTACCCCCAGTCTGGCTACATGACTACTAGCACAAATGCGCCCGACGACAGCATCTCCGTCTCCACCGCTGCCACCCCACGCTCTAATGCTAGCTGTACATCGGTCGAGGAGACGGCGGCGGAGCGGCCACAGCGCGTGGAGAAGAGTAACAAGTCCACCGCACCCACCGTTGCAACGCTCCCCGAGACGCTCAACTCGACACGCTCAAAGGCGGAGACTGGCGGCAGCAACTTTGTCGCTGGGGGCAGCACATTTTCCTCGCCCCACGGCTCAGAGCACTCCCTCACTACCACTCTGACAACCATACAATCTACCGCACCCTCCAACGTCCTCAACATTGGCCAAGCACAGCAGCAGAACAACGCAAACAACTCCCTCGCCACGCCTGTTCACTTCTCCCACCAGTTCCCCACATCTCCTCCGCCCTCGGCCATACCCCCACACATGGCGGTCCAGCAGCAGCCTAATTCCTACCAAGGCGCCACCGCCAACAACATTCTGACCGACAACGCTTCGATCCTGACCCTGGCCTCCTCGTCGAAGCGCCGCCGTCGCAACTCCGTAGACACCAACGCCTCAATGCGCGCGTTAGCACCCTCGTCACATTATGGTGGTAGTCGCGAGTCGCTCCCGCTAAGCGTCCTATCCGCCAACCCCGAAACCATCTACTCGCCCTCGAACCGCCCCAACAACGTCGGTGCTTTTGTCAACGCAGAGCGCGCAAGTGTATACTCGGCCTCTGGAGTTACCGCACCCGCCTTTTCCACCGACCGCAACAGCTACTACGCAAACAAGCAGGCAGACGGCCTCAGCGTCCGCAGCGGACTCCTTGGCCACGGCCGCACTGATAGTATCAGCAGCATGCGCGCTACGCCCACGAGTCCCCTAGCAAGCCCCCGCGATCCCGTCGGTCCCGGTAGAATCAGCCGCAAGAGCTCCGAGTGGAAGGAGGCGAGGGAGGCGAGTGATGAAGATGAGGTTCCTGCGAGTCCGATTGTAGAGGAGCATGAGGAAAAGGCCAATACTCAGTCTAAGTCAGATCCCCGGACTTGATGCGCTTTGTTTTTTTCTCTCCTTCCTCTTTCCTGGTTTCCTTCTTTGTATCATGCTTCGCGCCAGTGACGACGCGATTTTTCCCATTGCCCATATCAAGGTGGACACGGGGCGTTGTTGAAGTGCATGTCATGATATCCGGGGTTTGTCATTGCATTGGGATTGGGGCCGGCGTTTGTTTCTCTCTTTCGTACAATAAGGGGAACGGAGGGGACTGGGGGCATGGCATGTGGCGGGTTTCTTCTCTGGTTTTCTTTTTCTGTGCTTGTGTTTTGGTCTCTGCTTCTCTCATCTTATACCCTAGATTCAAATGAAGCTGATTTTTGCTGTTCCTTTCTTTTCTTTGTCACGATTATGTATGGTGTAACTTCATATGGGTATAGTATGTAGGATAAGAATGGTATGAGACTGATTTTAAAATGCAGATCTATTTCTCATTGCGTTCTCGAGCAGTTGTCTTGATTGGTCTTCGACATCGTATTTCGTCCCATATCGACAGAGACGGTTCCGAGCATCCGCACCCAGCTCCACATACAGACGAAACATCTCAAAAAAACATCATATCAAAACCACGATGAGAAAATAACGCTAAATGCTATGCTAAGCCACGCCATGCTACCAACATATACGATCCTATCACACCCCCTACCCCCCAGTAACCCACACAGCCCTTAGCCCATAATCCTCCTTCTCCTCCCACTATCAACACTAACCGTATTATCCGGCCCAATGCTAATACTCAAACTGCTACTATCATCCTCACTCGGCGCCCTTCTCCTATCCCCCCTCCTGTCAATAACCTGGCTCTTGCTCCGCTCAGGCTGGATAACAAGCCACGTCGAGCCGCCGCCATCGTGCTCCTGCTCCATGAGCTGCAGTTGCGGACCACCTCCTCTATCGTCGCGCCTTCGGATCTCGCGGTCCCGGTCTCGGTCTCGGTCGCGGTCGCCGCGTCTAATGTCTGCTTCGCTGTGGCCGCGGTCGGAGCGGCTGCGCTCCACGACTGGTTTTATGGCCTTGGGGGGTGCCGGGGGTGGGAATAGCGAGTGGAATTTTGCGGTTTTGATGGGGAGGGAAGTGATGGATTGGGGGAGGGGAAGGGATTCGATCAGGGTAAGTTTTTCAAGCGGGATGGTGGTTAGGAGGGAGGCGGGAAGGTCGGCGGGAGAACAGGCGACGATGGCGTGGCGGAGGTGGGTGTTTAGGGCAAAGAAGGAGAGGTTTTCTTGGAATAAGGTTAGGGGTTTGCTTTGCAGGATTTGTGAGTATACTACTATACGTACCTCTGACTTTTCTTCCTGCTCCGCCTTCTTTGCCGACGCCAGTGTCGATCCAGTCGAAGCTTGTTATTCGTCCACAGAAGCCGGTGGAGAAGGCACGAAGCTGACCCAAGTTCCTCACTTTTTCGAGCCGCACGAGGTAGTTTGCCATGCCCTCAAGGTTGGCATATACTCGTACGATGATGTCGAGCGAGTCTGCATCTTCAAAGAGTTCTCGTAGGTATTCTCGGATCCGGAGGTTGAGTTCGTCGGCGAGAGATTCGCCGCCTTGGGCTTTCCGAGTGATGTACTTGTCTTGGAACTATACAATATATCACGTTACAAACCTGCGACCATATGTTTTTTTGGGGGAATACTAAAGGGACTATGTACCAGAAAGCCTTCAGCATCGGCATCTATAAGGACGATGACGAAGGGTCGCTTCGCCTGTTGCTGTACTAATGCTTCCTCTTTCGCCTTTGACTCGTCTATCTGCGCCTGCATCGTTCTCGTCGTCTCGGCAATCTCCGCTTGCAGTGTTCGTCTAACATTCTGCTCAGAACCTAGATCCAGTTCGGTTTGCGCAAGGCGTTCTTCTGTCTTTTCCAGCTTGTCCAGCAGTTCCTGCTCTGACGGTGAGTATCCAGCGACAACCCCATGCCGCACAGGACCGGATGCCCTATGATCACAGACAGTGGAGAGGTACTATGCATACCTCGATAAGCTCACATCGCTTCTCTTCGAGAATCCTAAACTGGGTCAACCGCTCGCGAAACGTCATGGGCGGCGGGGGCGCGGGGCCAGCAACAACTAGTTCCGACATGGTCTATAGAAAGTAGCCAGATCTCTCTCACACAAAACTTCCAAGGGTAACCACGGCGGGGAGAAGTGACGCAAAAATCCAGGGGATTGTAATATTTAAGAAGACGCGTTGTTTTTGGGCACCCGCGCAGCGCTAAGCTGGGCTGCTACAGGCATTCCCTCACGGGTTCTGATGACCCCGCCGGATGGAAAAGATGGAGACGACCGACGTAGCGGATTGTGATTGGCTGCCGGGGTGGGGGTGCGTTGGGCTGAGACGCCGTCCTGGGGTTGTATAGTATCGGATGGAAAAAAGAGAATCGAGTAGAAAGGCTCACGAAGTGGCGAGATGCTTTTTGAGATCATGGAAAAGGCGCATGAGACATATACATATCAGGCGGCTCGTGCCGCAAATGGGGTCTTGTGAGGTGGTGGGGTCATGGGCGTCTATCGAGGAATTACATGTTGTGCATGACTTGCCCCGCCAACACATGACACTATACACACCAACGCTTGTTTTATAGGCTGGCGGAACGATTAGATACTCTACAACTGAAGGATGGATTGGCTGAACAATCGGGAGAGTATGGGGGTTATCTCGATGAGGAAGGATATCGTGTGCATCGTGTGGCTGGCTGGCTTCATCTATCCCGAATGCATGTTGCCGTGCATATACACCAGGATGCAAGTACTCATACGTGCGTGTACATGAAAGTACCTCAGAACCGTGCGTTATATTCTCACTCAATCGCCAGCACTTTGCTTTTGTACTTGCCACACCAATAATCCGGTGATGTTTTCTTAGCCAAAAACTTGGCAGCAGACGTGTCTCCAGAAAGATGAGTATGATTGCGTATGCTTTCAATGAGTATATACTGATAGTGCTGAATGATGTGGGGGCGAGAAGTCATTTGGAATTCCTTCAATAGCGCAAGAACCGTTTTCAGAAGCAGTCGTGTTGGTAAATTGTTTGTTAACAAGTCATGAACCGGAAAACGTTTCGTACGTACTTACTGTCAGTAGATCTAGAAGGCGGTTCCAATGTTGCCAAGCTGCCGAATCACGTGCTGTCAAATACGTATGTGATCGCCCCCTGAACTTTCCAGACAACTTCACGTCACATTTCATGTTTTACTGTATGCAACTTCAACACATTCTTATGTACAATCACGAAAGGGTTGATTGCATTGGAAAAAAGTTTAAATAACTGAGACATGCAGCGATGGGCAAGGGAATCGATAATTACATAGTAACGCCAACACATCGCTTCTAGAACATTTACGGTACCCCGAAACCTCACAAACAAAAGAACGACCACAGGAGCATAGATACAGACTCTCAAGAGTCTATGACTTCACCTTCTCCGAATGCTCTTCGAGGATGAACTTCCACATGACTTCTGCAGCTGTCTTCGCACCGTCCATCGAGTTCAACGTGTCCGCCAGAGACCTAGCTCTGGTGCCGTAAGACGGGTTGTTCAACACTGATAGTATTGTGGCGCGGATGTTCTTCGCTTTCCACAAGTGCTTCTGTACACGGACACCAGCGCCGGCATTCATCGCGTTGTCCAGGTTCGTCTGTTGCTCGACCTGTAGCGCAACTCCTACAAGAGGCTTTCCGGCAGCCAAAGCGCACTGAACGGTTCCCTGTCCTCCGTGTGTAACGATGAGATCAGCAAGTGCGTTGGCAGCAGATGCAGGGATGAATCGATCTGTTACCAACAGGCGTGGATCCCCCTTAGCGATTTCGTTCGCCTTGTTAATGTCGCAGATTGATTTCGAGGCCAGGACAACGGCATTCCAGTTATCATCAGGGTTCATGTTAAGAGCCTTGATTGCCTCGAACAAGAACTCTTCTGTGCCGGAACTGCCCATGGTAACCAGGATGGACGGGCCAGGTCCCTTTGTTAGATGAGTTGCAATATCGTCGTCCAACTTGGAGTCGTTTCGTGCGTACAATGGACCTGTAAGAACGATGTTCTTGGGTATGCGATGGAGGTACTCTTGGTGGAAAATTGGATGATCGTTGACCAGGTTAAGATCTGCCATGTTCATATCAAAGAGAGAAATGGGGCCTGAGATGGGCCAGCCAGCGGCAGCTGCGGCCGCGCCCAAGCGCTTCTGCTGGAAGATGGGAGCCTTTGTCATCAAGCCACTTCCCCACCATGCTATACGTTGGCGGACTGGTCGAGGAAGGCGAGTGAAGAGCGGCATCATATCAGGAAGATCCCTGATCAGACCATGACAGAATGCTCCAGGGTGCAGAGGGACTGGTAGAAAGTTGATGGTGCGGATGCCGAGGAGTCGTGCAGCGATGGAAGCCGGAGCCCACATGCCATGGAACACAATGTCGGGCTTCAGTTCTTTGAAAGCAGCAAGCTGACCATCAATGAAGGACTTGGCAATCTCCTCCGAGCCGAAGAACTCTGGCCAGTCCCAGCCAAGGTCGTGTGCTACCGAAATTCCTTTTACGCGCGGCTGAGCAGCAACAATGTTAAAACCGGCATCTGTAATCTGATACTCAAACCGGGCACCGCATGACAAAAAGTCAATCTTGAGGTCGACATCAGGGGGGCACATGTCTCGCAGAGCGATGGCCATGGCAATTGCGCGTGTGGTGTCTCCAGCATCTTGCCATGCCACACTCAACACAATATGAACAGACCGAGATGCCATGGTGCCAAGCACGTGTGAAATCGCTACAAATGATACAAGAGAGGGGAATAAGGGGATGAGATATTCGAGAATCCAGCTTGATCAACAAGGGCTACCTCGAGACAGTCCTTATACCGATACTCGAGGTGCCTGTGCACACTCATGTTCGCTTTTCCCCACGCACCGCGGATCGTACTCGTCTCTCCTCTATAATCTCCGACGCAGTAGCTCAACGGAGTAGCTGTTGACGTGCGAAAAGGTGGCACAATACCGGCTTCCTTTTGCGAGGCCGAGCTGATCGATGCCGCTTTGACATGCCAATCGGGCCCCTGCACCTCGACAGTCAGCTTGTAGTCTCACCGGGGCCAACTCTATTGTTACCTCGATGACAGCAGCCACACTGGGGAATGACTGAGACATCTGCGGGGAACCGTGATTGCAATATGGATGACTTGCACCCTTTGGGCCTTTTGGCTGGACCTTATTTCTGGCGCCGCTCCAGACAACCCGTATGGTGGAAGCGCAACAGCCGCGACCGCCTTTCAGATTTACAGGTCAGGTGTAGCGAGTCGGAGCCTCGGCCAGCGAATGTCTATTTGCGGCAGGCGTCCCATACCGGAGATCTTGTTTTGTGCTGCAGGCAACAAATGAACAGTGCAGGTTACTTTTCTTGTTGCGATGTAATGATCCTCGTGAAGAGCCTCGAGGCTTGATGTAGGCCAATCATACGCTTGGACTATGAAAACGACCCAACACCGCAAGTTCCGGTCTCCAATTAGATTGGCGAACTTTATTTCGGTGCCATGACAATAGCCACCATCGCCCACCAACCTGGTGGGGTTGAATACGAAAAGTCGCTTACTCGGTGTTGACAGCGCAGCATGCATCACTCGCTCAGAGAGTTTGTTGTCTGAGAGAACGACACGGTGTCGTCGGTGTTGATCTGCGTGTAGATTTATCAAGCTTTGCCAAAGCTAGGCCTTGCTTGTTTCATTGCACCAAGCAGACGTGGCGCACCCAGCTGCATATCTTGGTGCTTGCGCTGACAGATCTACAGGTTCAACCGATTGTACATGTAGGCTCGGGTAGGATGCCGGGCGCACTGGTGGAGTTGCAACGCAGCGTCCATTTCTGCACAGTGACATGTGTGTGTATCTTGACTCGGCTTTACGAAGAGCGAGAACAGATTACTGCAGCACCCGATATCACGTGAGATGACCACATTTTACGTTCTTGTACTACAATTATTGGGGGAAACGTGGGACGCGATCCGACCTCTGCCGTGTACGCGTGGAAATATATTGAAAAGATCTAATCTACTTCGGGATATCTAACTGAAGTTGGCATATTACACATTAAAACCATCCATTACTCTATTTAGGCGCTTTCAATTCACCCCGGAGATCAGGGTTGACCTTGGCGGTCAAGTACGACGAGAAATGACCACTGGCTCGGAACGTCTTTCGCCATGATGGAGCCGGTGGAGCAAGAGGAGCATCGTCTTGTCCGTCAGTGGCGGCCGCATTCTTCAAGATACCACGAGGTGGTTGCGCTTGTCCATCTTGCTTTTCCACATCTCCATTGGGTGCAGACTGTTGTGGCGGATCTTGCTTGTTCTTGACGCTGCGCCATTCCATACCCAGAGCCGCCGGCAAGGCAAAGCAAGCAATGATAAGGGCTGCAAAGAAAGTTCCCTTTGTCAGAGCGACATTATAGGCTTCCAGCACTCTCGCTTTGACGTCGTCTGGTATATTCTTGGTGATCTCTGTTGCCCCGGCACTGAGTACGCGTTGGGGTTCGAGACCACCAATTTCCTTCAGGCCATCGGTGAATTTGCTGATGTACAAGTTTTGACCGACTGCTGTAAATACGGCTCCACCCAATGTCTGGCACAGTGAAAGGATGGCTGTTCCGGTCGGCACATCTTGCTTCCGCAAAACGGTTTGGACGGCGATGTTAGGATGCTGCATGGTGCTTCCGACTCCAAAACCCACGAGGATCTGGTAGCCAATCCACATGCCGTTGCTCGTGTTCACATTCCATGTTGTGATTAGACCAACTCCAAGGGCCATGAGGACAGACCCAAAGATCATGAATGGAGTGTAGTAACCAAAACGCTGTACCAGTCCACCTGACAGAATTGAGCCTACCACGACCGAAAGGACAAGTGGGATGGTGTTGATGCCAGACTGCATTGCAGACACGCCCTTGATGGCTTGGAACCAGAGAGGAATGTAAATCGAGACCGTAAGCATGGTCGCTCCGACGCAGAACTGAGATGCACCACCGCAGGCGACACTCTGTTGAAGAATGATATGTGCGGGAATGGTAGCCGTAGTGTGGCGAGTGACGTATTGCCATGCTATGAAAGCAACAAGGAGCACGGCAAAGACGACAAGAAGAGCAATGATCCTCGGCGACGACCAGGAGTACTCAGCGGCACCCCATTCCAGTGCGAGAAGCAGACAGGTGATTGATGGCAGAAAGAGCAGGGTACCAAGCGGATCCAACTGTCGAACAATTTCTCCCCAGCCCTTCAGCTTCTGCTTCTGCTCGTCCAACTTGAGCATAAAAAACACAACCAAAATCGTAACGCCTCCGAGCGGCAGGTTGATCCAAAAGCACCATCTCCACGATGCCGAACTCTGGGTGAACGCTCCACCGAGCAAGGGCCCAGCCACGGACGCAACACCAAAGCACGCACCAAAAAGACCTTGAAGCATCGGCCGCTTCTCGAGCGGAACAGTGTTGAGCATGATGAGAATTGCGCCTGTGAAGATGCCACTGCTGCCCAGGCCCGCAATAGCGCGCCCAACAATCAGCATCGTGCTGCTCGTCGCAGCGCCGCAAACGACGCTGCCAATTTCAAATAAGAAAATACCAGAAAGGAAAACAGTCTTTGTTGAAAAGAAGGTGTAGACTCGTCCGTAGAGCAAGATGAAACCGGCGGCCGTAAGCATGTACGAACTGCCGTACCAGCCGATATCGTCTATGCTCTTGAAGTCGTTTGTGATGGCGGGAATAGCGGGTCCAATGATAGTTCTGTCGAGGGCGACAAGGAAAATGGCAATATACAAAGAAAACATAATAATAGCCGTTTTGGCTTTTGAAGGATAGGCTGGCGCGGGCGGGATGGTGCCCGCCATGTCGCTCTCAAACGTCGACCTCAGGTTGTCTGGTGGCGTGTTGTCGTCCATTGGGTGTCGAAGGTTGCTCTTCGTACTCCGTCGCTTGTCGCGGGGAAAGATACCAGACTCGTCCGGCTCGTCGTCGAATTTGACGCTGTTTGGTCGCGAGTAGCTGGAGCGTCCGGACGGTTGGTGGGAGTCTAGTATGACGGGTACGTAGTAGCCTTCGCCAGATTGAGGTGACAGAGGAGAGGATGCCAGAGGCGACGTCGGGGGTTTTGGGGTTTTTGGCATCTCGTCTCTTAGTCCCATTCCGTTTGCTAATATTCCTTCTAGTGCCAACAATGTGCTTTCGCGTAGATAGGGTCGGATCTCGCGGAGATCCTCGCGTAAGTTCGAAGGCGTGTATGAGGTGGCGGTACCACGAGTCCGTGGGCGCGATCGTCTACTAAAATGCCGGTCGGTGCAATCTCGCTCTGTCAATTCTGAATATCTTGGTCCCCACTCGTGGGCTTGGATATGTGCTCTTGCAAAAGCCGTCTCACAGTTGTCGGAGAGATCGGCGATTAGACTTGCGATTAAATTCCGTTCATCGAGCGACATGACGCGGGACGATGCTGCATCCGTGAACGTAAACTCGCTTGATGTCCGGGTTGACACGGGGGCTGCCGGGCCAGGCCCCCTACGGAACAACGGTACAATAGGTGGAAGCGCCGCCATTTGCCAGTGTCGATATTGATTCTTGCTTATCGGTTCTCGGTCAATGGGTGGGGGGTGGATGCGTTGGTTGTGGCTGGCGCCGAAGCTCCGTGAATGCGGACCTTCAGCTGTGGGCAACGCGTGCGTGTGCCTTGGGCGTACGTCTTGATATATGGACCAAGAGTTGAATTTCTATCAAAAGTCCTTAAGGGATGAAGCACAGGAATGTGAGCATTCAAGTTTCATGGCATTGTGAAACTGAAATAAGAAGCAGATGCACACTCCCGTCATCGTCCATGTTCCAAACCCCAAGGATGATTTCTGAGTCCGCAGCACACGAGGTGTACAAGCCCGAGGACAGTAAGACGGCGAGTGTCACCGACGAATGCGATCATTCTCTCCTACACCACTCAGATCAGCCAAAAGCATCGGTGTGCCGGTCTCAAAACCACCGATGTTCCACACCTTCACCTATGCGCCACACTCTTAGTCTTCCCGATCTACTGCATTTAGTTATACCTATGAATAGCTCCGCCATCAATTGCTCATCATATCACTTATGAGTAGTTGGTATCTTGATTACCCTGCATATAGACAGTTCAGAGACATTCGTGTTCATGTAAGACTATGCAGAATCAGCAGCGGGAATTGACATGGGGAGCCGGGTGGCGCTGCCGATCATTTTTGGACTTCCGAAACAGGATCTGGGGGACTTGAGCAGCCGAGCCGTGCCTCTTTTTCGCTGACACGATAGTCAGAGCAAGTGGAGTAACGGTAGATCGTGTCTCGATGTTTTGGAATGGGGCAGGGTAGTGGTGAAGGGAGTAGTCGTCACGGAGGAGGTTGATTAGCGTGCCGAGAACTGCGGTATGCGGGACAGATTCTACACCTGCCTGGACTCGAGTGTTTTGGGTTTGTTTGCTTGTTGGGATAGGATTGCGCTCTGGACATTCTAGAATCATAGGGATTTGGGTCGAACACGTTGACATCGTTACCTAGGAAATGCAGGTTGCATGTGAAGGATCCATACACAAACGCTGCCCACAGAGCATCACGTCCTGTAACTTTCTCCACAAGAGCACCGACTCCAACCTCATCACATCTACCTGCCATGTCGGACTACTCTTTGGCGTGAATCAGAAAGAGTTGAGGAGACAGACGGAAGGGGGTTTCGGTACTATTGGAGCCCATGTTCACGAGACGTATTCTTCACGTGATTAACACTAATCTTCTGGCTACAACGCACATCAATGAGCGTTGGATCCTCTTAACTTGGACCAATTTCGGAACAACTACGACTAGATTGCCGTATCATCCGCGCAGTTCTGGGTACTTGCTTAGCTACCTAATGAAAAAGCATAGTGCACACCTGCCCTAAAGTGTCCCAAGAGTTCGCCCAAAGAGGCCTGGACCACAAAAAGCAAACCACTGAGACAAAAATACTTGGTGGTTTTGTCTGTGTACAATAGGGGTTGGTGAACCAATTCACATCAGGTAAATCGGTCGAGCTGTCTGTGCACGAAACGAGTCCTTCGCGGTCGCGAGGGCACATGATGGAAAGGCGAGTTGTCTGTGACAATGGACAAATGAAGATCAGGATTGTGGTTCATGCAGAACCATAGATTACACGGTACGCTATTAGAGTAGACTTAACGGTTTAATCGAAAGCCGCATGTCCCTGCAAGCGGCAGCGTGGAGAGCGTTTAGCCGTTGGAAGAAGGAGCATGCATGACTGCGTCACTGTCCTTTTGGCACGTAGGGTAACTTGGTCTTCGTCCAAGAAATGGTAAGAGTCATCGTCTTTGTGCATATAGATGTTCTAATGGCTGGTACTGGAGACTATTGAATGTGCACATTAGCCGTTTTCTTCAAAGGTGATGGCTGGCGTCTGTATGATTATTAAATCAATGAAATGGCGTTCTGTATGTAAGGTAATGCGACATGTAAAATACTTGACGATAACTGTGAGATGCCCCTTCTTCTTTCTGGTTAATTGGAATATCTCACAAGTGGTAAGTGAATGCAACATGTAAGGGATCATATCATCTGCTAGTGGAAAAGACTAGGGTGCACATACTCAGAATCAGCAGACTGTATATGAGAATATCGGTTCAGGAAGGGAGGTGAAAAATCCATTTAAGGAATAAATAGGTTTCGCTCGGTATGAAGTGGATTTCCATGACCTACAGTGAAAAGCCTCGTACTTGTAGTCCTCTGGCTGGCAATCAGCAAGCCGGGTGCTGTGCGCAACCTTATGCAACAAAAAAACAGCGATTAGTTTTAGAGACTTCTCACGCTTCTAAAAAGAACGAATGCGTTTATATCAGTTGTAGCATAAGCAATTCACCAAGTGTTCCTCGATCTTATCGACTCAACAGTCAATGTCTGATGTTTCATCATAGCATATTTCCGCGTTGATTCAAGCACTCAGATGTGAAAAATGCAAGCTTTTAAGGATTAGTACGTCTTCATTAACGAGCTTTCTGCATTATTGGTTTCAAGAAATCGATGTAAAGTCTTACATAATACTCAGAGCTGTAAATCTGGTTGAAAACCAAAAGGAAAAATACCAGGCACTAACAAAACAACCTGCGTCACATCTCTTTCTTACATGTTCACCCCCGAATAGCGAGAGATTTTTAGTTTTTCAAGGGATTGTATCGTATTCCAGTGGAGGCGTATCGCACAAGCATTATACTGCTGGTCATTGCAGTTTATTGGGGTTGTCAAGGACATATGTCTATTCATAGGCTAGATCAAAATCTTGCATGGAACTACATGTGTTGAACCTGTTTCGATTAAAATTTTACAAGAGATTGTATGATAGGATTTGTCAAAAGTATTGAGGAGAAACATTGTGCCTGCGGTGGTGATAGCTCGAGTATGCTTATTGAAGAATTGCTCGGTACCTTTGCTAGCTGGTACTAACGCTTGCGTACAATTCGCTGTGACACGCACAGTAACCAATACACAGACTGCGCACACCACTCATTGATTATGAACATCAATTTCAGCTGACTGGCTTACCAGAATATCCTCTTCTCGATAATCACATGTGATACTAGAATATATTGCCTGTCACAAGCGTAAACTCCCACTAGGCCGGTGAAGCCGAGTGCAAATACTGACTCGACACGTCGCCAGTGGCCTCGTTTTTGGCATTCTGTTCCGCTCAGAATTCGTGTCAGTTGCGTATAGCAGTATTGACATGTGCGAGTCAAGTACGTAGCACATACGTACAAGGCGTCTCGCTTCTAACCTCGCTACCGCGTCGCGATTACAACAGCGCCGACGCCGATCCCCTCACATGTCCCTTCTCCACACCCCCACTACATCTCGCAGATCTCACCTACCCGCCCCTATACCGAGATGTCAGCATTCCCGAATTGAGCATCGCCAATCCATTATGGGGCATACAACTATGAGTCGTCGTCGATCTTCAGATTCACACTTAAACCCAGCAATCACACTTTAGCAACACCGCACTAGACCCCACTTTTGAAGCTGAACATAACCACAACCGTGGAAGACCGTTGTGACCAGACTGACCTGGAACTGAAAGTTTGTGACGTGTCAATGGGATTTATGGATCGACGTATAGGCAATTGCATGAAAACTGAAAATCAGATGTTGTCCATATGTGAACATGAGTTCACCCCGCAATTGTCCCATTGCTTTTTTCTTAGCTATGACTACGTTGCGGGGAGCTGAGAATACGTGAGTGGTCTTACTTTGTAGGTTTTAGCCCATTCACAGATGAAAAATTTGCAGTTTGAGCTGAAAGATGACATTTTCGAGAGAATGTTTGATAGAAGGGGGTTTGGTCATTTGTGATATATATATATGGAGTGATAGGGACGAAGTAAAGTACCAAACGAGGAATATATCGAAACCGACAAGACACTTAGGAGCGGGCCTGTGGAAAGTTACCATGATATGTTCTGTAGATCAAAGACCTGCTCCAGCCCGTTCGAGTCTGCAAGCAGAAGTAAAGAACGAATAGGGTCTCGCCGTAGGGAAAATTTGAAAGCTGTCGCGGTATCAAACAATGGGTGATGCGGTCATATCCTACCGCTGCGTCATATCCCTCATCTCGGTGCGCAATCCTCATCCTAGTGCTTCCGTCGCTATTATCGACAATTAAAAGCCCAGAGTGCTGATTCCCAATTTTGCCGCAGCAACGAACTCAATGCTCTTGTCCAGAGTCATACAGTTCATCCCTTGCACCCAGATCTAACCTCATCACTTAACAGCTCAACCTCCAACTGAGGTTTGGACATCACCATGGCCCTAGAAAACATCCTCCCCTTCCACAAGAATGACATCCCACCATCCCAATCACATCCTGGAGCCCCCCAAAATGAACCCCAAGACTCTCACCCGGACAGTTCCCATGGCAGGCACCCCCACATAGAGGCCATCACGCATGGCCACAAGGGCGCCAGAGTTCGCACAACCATCATCTCACACAACTGGCACAATCGCTCTGTAGCCGCACTGGCAGAGTTCGCAGGTACATTCATGTTCCTCTTCTTTGCCTTTGGCGGCACCAGCGTCGCGAACAATAGTAACCAGGCCAACCGCTCCAATTCCAACTCAGATTCCGACGAGATCCTCCAGGTACCTGATACGAGCGTGTTGCTGTACATTAGCTTGGTGTTTGGATTCAGCCTGATGATCAATGTGTGGTGTTTCTTTAGAGTCAGTGGGGGGTTGTTTAATCCTGCTGTAAGTCTCTATCCTTATTTCCATTGCTGTGCTCCTCAAACGAAGCGAACATGAGACTTGGATTTCCTCGGCTGACGAATTTTGTTTCGTTGTTGCATAGGTAACGCTAGGTCTCTACCTCATCGGCAGCGTGCCCCTTCCCCGAGCAATCATGTGCTTCGTAGCGCAAATGCTTGCCGGCATCGCGGCTGCAGGCGTTGTTCACGCCATTGCGCCAGGCCCCTTATCCGTAAGCACGACGCTGAGTGCGCGTATGTCTCCCGCTCGTGGCGTCTTCCTGGAAATGTTCCTTACCTCTTTACTCGTCTTCACTGTCTTCATGCTCGCCGCCGAAAAGCACAAGGCGACGTTTCTTGCCCCTGTCGGCATTGGCATGGCACTTTTCGTTGCAGAAATGCTTGGTGTCTTTTTCACAGGCGGGAGTCTGAATCCCGCGCGTAGCTTCGGGCCTTGCGTCATCACGGGCGATTTCCCTGGCTACCATTACATCTACTGGTTTGGGCCGATTATGGGATCGCTGTTGGCGTGCGGGGTGTACAAGGTTGTCAAGGCTGTGGATTACGAGACTGTGAACCCGGGGCAGGACTTTGATGACCATGAGGCAGCAGCGTTTCAGTGTCCGGATAATCCGCATAGTCGCGATCAGGTTTGGAGGCCTATTGTATCGAGGCAGCTTATGCGCCGGGGGACGCATGAGTCGGAAGAGTCTGCGGGGGAGAAGACTATTGAGAGGCTGGACACGAATCAGACTCGGGTGTGAGAAGGGGGCGTTGCGAAACAGGATATATTGGGAGATGTAGATAATAATTCGAGTCTGGTCTGGGATGAGATGCGGTGAGTTTGTAGTATACAAAAAAGCTGTCTTTTCTGGATGCATCACTGCGCATTCCCTAGTGTGGCTGCTGTGTGCGTGTCATAAACCATGCCAATAAATACCCTATAAGAGCTAAAAAAATATGAAAGTAGACAACAAGGATACTAGGATAGCAACACAAAAGCATACACCTGACATGAAGTCATTCTTATTTCCATGATTCTGCTTTAATCTTGAGAACCTTCGATTGGGAGATGTAGATTTTCCTGAATTGAAACCTTTTGCGTTGACGGAAGTAGAGGATTGTTCGGCAAAGTGCGATGATTGCCTTTCTCCTGATTATCTTGTACATCTCTACGTCTCGGAAACCGAGAATTCCAAGTATCCTCTCCGATCCCTTCCACCCTGCTGCATCTCCTTTTCCCTTCAGGTTTCAGTGTCAGTAATCTTGTCGGCGATGTCGCTTGGATCTGGATCTCTTCCGGCTCCACTTCGCTCGTTCCGGTTCGACTATCCGCACTACTCGTCGCCTCTTCTCCACTCTTCGAACCTGGTCATTCTGGCGTCGTGGCCGTCCCGCATGGTCACAAGCGACATCATAGGGGTGGTGTCCATTGGTATAGCGGGGGTCAGCTTCCTGTTGTGACTGTTCAGTGGTACGGAGAGAAAGTGGGCGGTTAGGAGGAAGTAGGGAAGCTGTACGTTGATGATAGGTAAACATATCGCTAGGAGGCAAGCCATGAAGAAAAGGCTCATTTTGAACCAGTTCGTTTTGATTATGGAGATCGGTGGGATGCGAATTGGTAGGGGTCTCGTGAGCTCAGAAAACTAACAAGAGCTGTGTGTTGGTAATAGCGTACTGATAATTCAGAGGATATGATGAGGATGGATTCACGTCTTGCTGTCCCAACGACAAGCCTCAGTTGACTGAGAGAAGAGTGCAGCTGTCATCGATAGATAATCTGAGTGGTACGACGGGCAGTAACTCATGTAGTGGAAGGTATGGCAGTGCGCACCCGATAGCTATGTCACTGGCGTTACTTCCCGCTAAATCCATTTCGAACACGTAAGACACATATATCAATCAAGTTGTGAAGAGATCTGGCATCTGGGCATAAGGATGAGAGCATAGCCAGGAAAATCCCATTGAGGCAGGAATTTTCTAAAAAGAAGAAAAATCATCATGTGGATGGGCAGTTAATGCATGCTGAAGGAGAAAAGGCGATTTTGGGTATTCATGCCGAGCGCCAGATGATAACTAGTGTTGCATCTCATCGTGGTCTACCTCGTCAGGCTCAATCTCCGCAGTATCACCCTCTTCATACCCCTCACCTTCTTCTTCTTCGTCCTCACTATCCGATCCCGATCCTTCACTCTCGCCCTCACTCCCTGGATCGAAGTCGTCATCCTCTTCTTCATCATCCTCCTGTTCCTGCAATTCCCTCTCCGCCTTCTGTAGCTCGCTCTCCTCTTCTTCCGCAACTCCTTCAGCCTCAGCGCTATTGGCGGCGTCCTTCTTACCGCCAACCTTGTTCACGTTGAGCTTCTTAGCACGTCGATCGGCTGCTAAACTAGCATCCTGAAGGCCGTGCTTCTGCACATATTCATTTATGCCTGCAAAGTCTGCTTGATCAAGCATACCGAATTCAATATCACCGGTGGGTGTGGTGATGACGAGATTGAACGTGTTGCGAAGGACGGCGGTGTAGGATATGCTGGTTATGGCGGCGAAGTCGAAGAAGGCGAGGGGCTTTTTGAAGCCGTTGAGAACACCCACAGAGGTGAAAAACAGATAACCTAACAAGTGTCAATAGGTGTGTAACGCGTGAATATAATAGAAAGCAGTATCGCACCTTCTTTACTTCCTCGGTGTGCTTTTACGTGGTATGCCTTCTCGCCCTTTCTGTGGCTCTCTGGGATAGCGCTCGCAAACTCATCTGAATCGGGAAAGACGACGTGCTTTCCTGTGCCTGCTTGTATCAGGCAGTGGTGTATTGCGTCTGCCATTGCAGTTGGCCCTGGATCCTCGCCTTCTACGATGTTCTTTCCAGTAGCTTCCTCAAATGTCCACACAATTGGCTCTGGCGGTGAGGCCTTTAGCTCTTCGGGTACGGGGGCAACACCGTCTCCATGTACTGGTATAATGACGAAGTTGTGCTGCTTCTTCGCCTTTTCAGGAATAGGCAGGCAGAAAACCTGGTCAACATCTTTCCACGCAATTGCGAACTCGACGTTCCCGCTCGCACCAATCGCCCGTATTCCACCGTCCTTCTTGTCCAATAACTCGAGGGTAAATTTCTTGCGCTGCGGTATCGAGAAGCTGACACCAGCGTATGTCTTGAATGCCGGGGTTGCAGTACTCGTAAGGCTGCCTCCAGTTGCGGACGGGACATTCTGCGCACCATTGCTCTCCTCAATCTTGCGCTTCTTAGTCACTGGTTCAGCGGCAAGTTGCGAAGTTTGATTGAGGATATATGTTGAAATGTCGCGAAATAGTGTACTTTGTGCTGGATATTGATCTACCTCGTATGTTCAATTTCAATTCAAGGCATTCTTTGAAAATAAGCATACCTATGGCGGCGTGTACGCGCTTCCGCAGCTCGTGATTACTAGCAAAAGCGACATCGACTTCTTGGGGATGCGGCGCACGTGTCGGTGCCGAAGCCGGTGCCGGTTCTGGCACTGGCGCTGGCGCTTGTACAGGCACGACAGGCGCTGATGGGCGGTTGTTGAGTGCTGTAAAAGCCATGGTGGGTGCTGAGAATTATTGTTGTTGTTGGAGAAAGGACGTCGTGTAAACGCGTTGTTGGTTTGTCGCGACTTGCGGGCAATTAGCGCTCGGCTGTCTACTACATGTGACATCACCCATCTGATTCACGTCCATCCCAACATCTGACCGACATGATTCAGCTTCACAGTACGACAGCTGTGGGACACAGTCTACTATATACCTTTCCAGTATGGCACTTCTTATGTGTAAATCAATGACTCTTACTTCGTATAGCTGCAACTATGTGTACGCCCCACACGGCACACCTAACGGATATGACAAATTCCCCCATCACACAGTTCTCGCACATGTAGATATTAACGGTGTTTATGGTATTGTGCGTATGTGCGCGTTCTGAGTTCTAATAAAGCATAAAGATACATTTCGCTATAAGAAACCGAAGTGGGCTCAACCGAGAAGCGATACAAGACCCCAGCCAAACATCCTCCTCACCGATCTGATTTGTAGCAGAACCTGAAGCATGGTTTGGCATTGGCATTATGCTTAACATTGTCGTCACATGGCAACAAGAGCCCGGCCTCAGAATGTGCGCAACCATTATCCACACGCGCGTCATTCTCAAATAATTAATAGCCAATATCCACGAGGCACGGTAGTATCATCAATCATTGTATCCCAATCCATATGCGACGCGGGGTACGTATCCAATCTTATGCGGAGCATTAAAAAAAAGGTGGCGCCAAAATGCTCCGCATATCAATCCCATCTATTTCTGCCTTATGTATGGACACAAAAATAAATACGCATTCAGCTTAATTGCCGTTATTATTGCGACGTGAGAGAACCATCGTGGGTTCAGTCTAGGGACAGTGCACGTTGCGCATCTCATACACTTGTTGTCACGAACCTCCGAAACAGCCAATACAAAACCACAACGAGTGTTTGACACCTGTCATTGCATTACCAAGTACACAAAAATTGCCGGATGCATACCAGACCGTTCAGGCAATACCTTGACGGAAGGCCTCAGACCAGCCATATGCTGGCATAGCAGCATTGACAACTAAGCTCTAACAGAGGGTAATGATAGCATGAGGTATGGCGCGGGTGCCTGACGTGGCATTTGTGTTGTTCTGTTTGTCAGATGAATTTTGGATAATATCTAACTGGACCGTATCGCATGCTGTCTCCCGAGCCGTCCCAATCTTTCATTCTTTTTACTCTGCAATACCTGATTGGTAGCCCACTGATGTCTACATAGTCGCCACACGGCAAGACTTGCTTCAAACTTCTTTACAGAAGTGAACCATTACAACCGGACCGACCAAACGTAGACCTTAAGGGTTGCCTTTAACGACGAGTCAAGATCAGAAAATGGCCGACACAAAGAAGTCCAAATTCAGTCTGCCACCATTAATCGCCAAAGTTCCGTCTCTACTCCGTCGGAAACAAGATGACTCGCCCATGTTCAACCACCCATTCGATACAAACTCATGCCCACATCACCGGATAGCACGAAAAATCTATGGAGCCTCTCTCCTCGCTCTCTTCATCACAGCCATCCTAGTCATGACGCTCAAGGCCATCACATACAGCTTCGTCGAAGACAACCGCATGACCGGCTTCGTATTCGACCCAGACACAACGAGCAGCACAAATACAAATATCATCATGGCTGCCTTACCCAGGATGCTCCACACCTTGCCAACTAAGCTCTCCATCATCATCGCAGCCATCAGTCTCTCGCTCGCCACAGGCCACCTAGCCCTCGTAATCATCGACTGGAAGAGCGGGAAACGAGTACGTCACCAACACTTCCCCCCAAAAACCTCATCGAAAAATAGCTAACATTCTCATAAGACTCAATCCAACGCCTTCCGCCGCAATACAATGCTCATCCACATCATCAACGCCATCCTCGTTCTCTTCGCCCTCGTCGCAGTCTACACCACCCACACAAAATCCTCCAGCTACCTCCCAACCTACATTTCCAAACTCACCTCCAACACCACCTCCGCCATCCCAACTATCGCCAGCCCATCTGACCCTGTCTTCCGCTATGACCACGGCACCTTCGACCTCGAAACCTGGGCATGCGCGCTCAAGAACGTCGAAGGTGCGGGCATGGTTCGGGACGATTATGCGAAGCAGTGTTCGATTGAGACCGCGGGACGGGCGGTTATGGTGCCGTTTCTTATTGCGGCGTGGGTTGTTGCGGGTGTTAGTGTGTGGGGGTTTGTAGGGGGTGGACGGAGGGGACCCAATGGGGAGAGGATGAGCACAGATGAGGTGGGGGTTGAGATGGGGAAGATGAATGCGACCGATGAGTAGTTAGGCTTTGGGTTAGGGAGTTTTGCATTATAGGAGTTTTTTTGGTGACATTTAGCGCGGCGCTGGGCGCTGGGACATGGGCAATGAGGAAGGGTCAACGGTTGATCACGTACATCTGGGTTGAAGATATAATAATAACTAATGGTTTTCTACTTTTTTTTTACTGTTTATGTGTGTGATAGGCTTGCGGTAGACGATGTGCTACCTAAACGCTACTTCCTTAGCCCTGAAAAAGTCAGCTGCATGATCTTTGTCTTGAGAACTCCCAAGCTGCATGATCTTTGGTCTGAGATATTCAGAATTACATGAATTTTCCCAGTCTTACTGTGTACTGTCTACTACATGTTGATGAGACTGAATCCCATGACTGTCGGAATCAGATCAGGCGTCTAAGCAGCGTGACGACGTCCTGGGCGTGCCTCATCCATCAGCTGTTCATCAGTCCACTCACGGTCTTCTGTGAGACATTCCATCTCATCCCAGTGCTCATCCACTTCTTCCGGATGAGGTTTGATCATATTCATCACGTCCTCTTCCTCTGAGGTTTCAAGCTTCTTGGAAATGGGTGTGGGCGTATGAATAGAGGGATGAGTCGCTAGAGTGGGAGCATGCTTGTCCTGAGTGGGAGAGTGCTTACCCTGGGCGAGAGAATGCTTAACTTGGGTGAGAACATGCTTAACCTGGGTGGGAGCCTGTACAACTTGAGTGGCAGCGTGCATGACTTGGGTGGCAGATTGCTTCATGTAGGTATCTGGGGGACTAGTGGTGGTGCGGGTTTGGGCAGTCTTGTAAGTTTTGGTCTTCTTGAAGACCTTGAGGTTGGGTAGGTAAGACATCTTCTTTCGTAAGCGGGTTAGAGTTGGGTTTGGGTTTAGTAATTTGGGTTTGGGTTCAGATTTGTAGATCATGTAGGCAAAAATTGGGAGGATATAAGAAGGGGGCTCTTGTGAACATTGTGCAGTATCTGTGTGCGTTGTAGAAGGTCACAATGCTGGCCAACACTGTACGACAGAAAGTTCCAGTGCTATAGTGAGTTCTTAGTGTTTGATTTGTGGAAGCAATCTTTTAGCCCACTGTGTGTTATGTTGCGAGTGTTTTCTTTTCAGATAAGTGGTAGAATGTGCACAATAGGCCAGTGTTATACCTTCGACAGGTTTGATAACAGAACGACAGGAAACTTAGTGCCACCTAGCCATTCAGTTAATAGTATCGAATTCTTGCACACCACTCGAAAGATCCTGAAGTATGTTTTACTCATGCCCTCGAGATACGCATCGGTCGTTCCAACGTGGGCCGTTCCCACTCAGTGCTTTAATGAAAGAGATGAGTGGAAATGATTTTTGGGAATTCCGCTTGAAATTACATCTAGCAACCTGGCATATGAAGAACTGTGTATATGTCTTAGACACATGAAGTCTCCTATGTGGATCACCTAAACTTCCCTATTACATACAGAAACTCAACTTGGGCGACATCATTCTTGACCACGATTGGAGGCTTGAATCTAAAGATTCTCGAACACGGAGCAGACAAAATCGAGTTAGATTCTAGCTGAGGTCGCATAGCACATTAATTCGAGACTGAATGCCCACATTGATACACGCGCTATCCTGTAACGGTTGTCGACGGAACACCGATGCAGCTTGTCCGGGCGGGTGTTCGGAGAAGGGATGCGCCACTCCTAATCTAGACTAGTGGATTTACAGGGGTCTCGTGTTCTTGAGACCGATGTAATAAGTCGGGGATGACGGTTCCACGCTGGCCAAAGGTACGAATCTCCCGAGTTTTGACAATGCCACGATGAGCGAAAGCCAAAAGCTCCTGCATGAGCATCATTCAGACAGCGACTCTGAATTAGAGCCCGAAATCAAACCAAGTCCGCGACATCTATCGCCATCGCCCTCGTCGTCGCGAGCTACATCCACCTCCCCAGCGCCCCCAGGGTCCCGTCCAAATGACGGCATCAAGCGGCAATCGTCCTTTGCACAACATCGCCCAGATGGCACTCCGAGAACCCCGAACCGCGTCCGTTTCGAAGAGCCGAGGAGGAGCCTGAATGGACATGCAAACGGCAGCGCCGACTGGGTAGAGTTGGACGGAGATGATTATATGAATGATGGAGAGGGGCAAGAGAGGACACAGCGGCTGCCTCTGCTCACTGGCATTGAGGCGCCGAGTGTCACGGTGGCCGAGCAGAACTTCAACCCAGAAGACCACTTGGAGAGCGCACGACCACGCAGCGGAATGCGAAGCGCATTCATGAACATGGCCAACAGTATAATGTGAGGCATACACCGACAACGACAGGTGAAACAAGACGTGCTAATCTGGAGTAGAGGGGCTGGTATCATTGGCCAACCGTACGCTATCCGCAATGCCGGCCTCTTGACAGGCACCGCTCTGCTCATCGGCCTCACCATTATCGTAGACTGGACGATCCGACTCATTGTCATAAACTCGAAGCTCAGCGGGACGGATTCTTTCCAGGCGACGGTACAACACTGCTTTGGGAAATCCGGGCTTGTGGCTATATCCCTTGCGCAATGGCTATTGTACGTCAGCTATGTAACATCTCCAAACACATGTATTGACCGCATACAGCGCCTTTGGCGGCATGGTAGCCTTCTGCGTTATTATCGGTGACACAATACCGAAGGTTTTGGATTCAATGTTCCCGTCTCTAGAAGACATGTCCTTCCTATGGTTACTCACCAACAGAAGAGCTGTCATGATTCTGCTCATTCTCGGCATATCGTTTCCCCTGTCACTCTACCGTGACATTTCAAAGGTAGCTTCATTCCCGAGCAAGAGAATGCACCAACTAATCCGTTTACAGCTTGCCAAAGCCAGTGGCTTCGCCTTGGTCAGCATGACCGTCATCATCGTTACAGTTGTCACACAATCCTTCCGCGTTCCCGCTGAGGCCAAGGGCCAACTACGCGGCTCCCTCATTATCCGCTCGGGCATATTCGAATCTATAGGCGTCATAGCTTTTGCTTTTGTCTGCCACCACAACAGCCTCCTCATATACGGCTCCCTGCGCAAGCCCACTATCGATCGTTTCTCCCGCGTCACACACTATAGTACTGGCATATCTCTTGTCGCATGTCTCGTCATGGCACTCTCGGGTTACCTGACCTTTGGCGATAAGACACTCGGCAATGTGCTCAACAATTTCCCCAACGATAATCTCATGGTCAACATTGCACGTCTGTTCTTCGGCCTCAACATGCTTACCACACTTCCGCTGGAAGCCTTTGTTTGCCGAGAAGTAATGAACAATTACTGGTTCCCCGATGAACACTACAACCCCAACCGCCACATAATCTTCACTAGTTCGCTTGTGATTTCTGCTCTCACGCTCTCTCTTCTCACCTGCGACATTGGCGTTGTTTTTGAGTTGTTTGGCGCAACATCTGCTTGCGCCCTGGCATTCATTCTCCCACCCCTCTGCTACATTAAACTGTCGCAAAAAAGCACAATGACATATGTAGCCGGCGCTGTAGTGGCGTTTGGATGCACTGTCATGGTCATTAGCATCCTCAAGACTACGAGCAAGCTCGTGGTTGGTCAAAGTGATCATGCGCAATGTGGGTAATCTGATCTTTTGTCGTAACATGGAGCGGTTGCATTGGGCGGCGTCTCGAGTATAAAAATGGTATACATGGGCGCGCAAGCGCATGAATCGGGCAACTTACCACTGTTCATTATAGAAGAATGAAAACATTATCAAAGTGCCATGTTTCCATTTTGCATTGCCAGTCTTACGTTGTGCATGTCTGACCCACAGGATTTCCATCGGGCCGTTTTCATAACCCTCGCCTGTGTAACAAACAAGCTTGCGTTTCTCAAAAACGGCTATATCGGCACCAAAATGCTTCCAAAACCTTGGTCGTGAAGTTCAATCAAGCTCTTTAGCCCACTCTCAAGTCTGGGATGTCAAGGGTCTTTCGCCGTTGTATCCGGCACTTGTCCCTGTTTCTGACCCACCCTTACACTCAACACCAACGCTAACAAGTTACCCAACTAACATCTGTATATCGCACCAAACCATCACGCCCCTTTTCTGTTGTTTTGCAATGAGCGCGGCATACAGCACGATGACGATAGTGGCGGTCGCAGCATGTGTGCTGTAAGCGGGCCTTTTTGGCTGATCACCACTTCTTTGGGGCGGGCTGTGACGTCGATGTCGCCAGCCTGAACCCTGCTTTTCTGCATAACGGGATGGCAGATTGGGGTCATACACGGGAAGCAACGACGACATGACGAGATGGAAAGCACGAATTGCATATAAAGAAGTCAATTGCGAACATCCCATTTCCCTTTCTCGTCTCCTCTATTCTCAGTCCTCTACCCTAAACAACAAAGGCATCTATCCCTGTCTAACCAGCCCAACCTACAACAAGATATAACTAGAAGTAACTATAAGGAAATAACAATACCAGAAATGCCACTCTTCGGATCTCGCCGCGAGCCCTCGCCTCCCCCCGCCCCAGCCCCAACTCAGAAATCCGGGCTCTTCTCTCGTCGTCGCTCTTCCTCTCCCCATGCAGCTACTACAACCACGCACCACCACCGCCACAGCAGCTCAGCCTCGCGCTCCGGCACATCACCCAACAACACCATCTCCTCTGGCTTCTTCAGCAAGTCATCTAATGGAGACCCCAGCATCGTCAATGCAAAGCAGAGTCTAGCAAATGCCGAGGCGGCGGAAAGAGAGGCGGATAGGGCGTTGGCGGTTGCGAGGAGTGCGGTTAGGGAGGCGCGCGAGCATGTTGCTAGGTTGGAGAGGGAGGCTGCTGAAGAGTAAGTTTTCTTTTGTTTTATGTTTTGACTTGGTGTGTTTGGGAGAGCAGAGGACTGACGAGGTACACAGGGCCCGATTAGCTAAGATCAAGAAGGCCGAGGCGAAGACGCTCGGTAAGATGGGCAAGAAGTTGGGCAGGCATGATCATATTTGAGTGTGTGCAACTTGAGGTTGAGAAGGATGACACTTGCTGGATTCTGGGTGACAGTGTCGAGCTGTTATGACATGTGTGAAAGCGAGGAGTTTGGTGTGGTTTTGTTGGCATTTATTTCGCTAGCGCTTGTGTAATACCCCTTGTGTTATTCCCAGCTCTTATGAATCTTATGAGTTTCACGAGATTGACATCTGGCGCATTATGCCTGTTTCGAGAGACTGGTCGAAGCGACGAAAAGAATGAGCTTGAATAACGATTATCACGGATACGTTAATTGGCAGTCTTGACACACTCAACCCCTTCGACATGTCTTATGAGTTAGAAAATATCACCAACATATCAATTTCACATGTTTCAAAGCAAGGGTATTTAACAATTTTTCATCGCATTTCAAATTATCTTTAGCATATCCAAAAACCAGCCATCCCCACTCAACGGGTATTCAACTCAGTCGCATCCCCCCCTTCCCAACAAAAGAAAAGAAAAGGAAAGAAAAGATAGAAAGGAAAAGAGAGGAAGGAAAAGATATCGTATACAGAAAACTCGTACAAAACAGAGAGAAAGAGCCCCAAGAGCCCCCCCCCCTGATTACGATTAAACACCTAAAAAAAGCCACTGATTCTCCATCGAGCATACGGCAGAGGGTTTCCTTTTAATACGAGGCCGCGCTGCTAGCAGAAGGTCTGATAACCGTCCGCAATGTACATGGCGAGTCAGCGCCAGCATCTCCATACAAACCTCCCTTGACTCCATACACACCTGCACCGCCACCATATGATCCTCCGTACGATCCCCCATACGAACCACCAGCACCAGCACCGGCACCTGAACACGGCACCGCAGATCCTGTAGGCGCAGAAGGCGTCTCGGTAGTCGCGTACACGGGCCCGTCTGTGAATTCACCAGGTAGACCCGGGAGGATGTGAGTGAAGGCTGGGGCCATGATGGGGTCGAAGGAGAGGGAGGCGGGAACATAAACGGATTCGTAAGGGCGGGGTTTGTTGTCATTGATTGGAGTTGGCGATGGGGTTGGCTTGGGTGTTGATGATGAGGTTGGTTTGGGGGTTGGTTTAGGGGTGGAGTCCGGGTTGAAGAGGGAGAAGGAGAGTGTGGGGGCTGGTGGGGCGTTGTACTGAGCTGGTGTTGAAGCTGGGGGTGCGGGGACTGGGGCTGAGGGAGTGTTGTACGCGGGCGGTGGGGAAGGTGAAGATGGCTTGGATGGCTCAGCAGGGGTAGATGGCTCCGAAGGCTTGGATGGCTCAGCAGGTTGGTATGGCTCGGCAGGTTGGTATGGCTCGGCAGGTTGGTATGGCTCGGCAGGCCGGTATGGCTCAGTAGGCTCAGGCGACGAGACAGGCTTTGATGACGACGAGGGCTTGGGTGGTGCTTCTGAATCCGATGGCGTAGAAGCTTTGCCTTGGCAAGATGACATGCATGCGAAACTGATAGCATTGGTCGTCTTTCGGTCGGCAACAGGACCATTGAGGGACCAGTTCATATCAACATAAGGCCAGCAGATACGGCCATCGGCCATGGTGACCATGTCTCCAGCAACATATACATTCATAGACTTGATCGGCTCGCCGACCTTCTTGCCATCCTTGATGAGCTGGAAGTAAGTGCCCGAGAATTCACCCTCACAGCCCATAGCTGGGAAGTTGCAAGTTGGCTCTGCAATCTCCTCCCATGTGACGAGTGCGTTGGAACCATCAAAAGCGGCTACGCGAGAATTCTGGCAGTCTGAAGAACCGGTTGTGATCCAGTTAACGTGCGAGTCGCCATCGGGTCCGGGCTGGTTAGTGGCTTGCTTGCCGACCATAGTCTTCTTGTCGGAAAAGGTAGCGATAGCGACGTTACGGTTCTTGGTTCGGTAACTGGAGGTCGTGTATCCTGCGCCCAGCTGCTTGTTCTCGGTCAGATCCTTGGAGCCGCGCGATACCCAGGTGAAGATGTACGAGTCCTTGTTGATGAAGCGTGTAAGGCTGCTGTAGGATCCAGAGATGCCTCCCATGGGCTCGTTCGAAGCACCGTTCCTAGCGTATTCGTTCGATACCTTCACACCAGTCTTTTCCATTCCAGTGCCTCCTGTGTTAAGCCAGATTCCACCCTGGTCGTCAGCGCAAACACTAGCAAAAGGTGCCGAGGAAGAAGCCTCGAGGGCGATGCCGGTGTTGAAGGAGCATCCCCAGTTTTTAGTAGCGCCCTCGATTTTCTGAATGGTACCATTATTGCTGATGTATTGTATCGAATCGCCAAAGTGACCTTGTGCAGGACCTTCGTAACTGGCAACAACAAAATAAGCTCCATACATGCCAGTGTCCTCGGAATAAGCAAGGTCCCCATTCAGATACGGTGAACACGTTGCGCCTGCCTCACCAACATTATCTGGACCACCAAGGAATCTCTTAAAAGCCCGCTTGCCACGTGTCCAACGGTATAGTACAGCTACCGGGTCTCGTTTAGGAGGGGCTTTTTGTGTTCCGACGTCCATTGGTTCATTGGTAAGAAGGGCGAATCCGTCATTATGAGCGACGAGACCACCGGCTTCCTTTGCACAACTCACCGTCACCGCATCTCCGATGGCCTTGAATGTAACAGGGTCGAGCTTCTGTACATGGACTCCCTTTCCTGATGCCCCGAGGTATGCGAGATACGCTGACTTTCCATCCGGTGAGACTGCAAAAGGCGTGCGGTGGTGGTGTGGTAGTCCAGTGCTGTAGTCATCCTTGATTGGCGAGAAAGGAGTAGAAAGCTCTAGGCTTCCAACGTAAGTCTTCAAGTTGCTTTCCGAAAGCCCAGCAAAGGCCGTGCTCGAAAGCAGAGAAAGAAGAAAAGTCGAGTGTAGCATTGTGCTAAAATATATTGTACTTGTAAACGAGTGACGAAACGAACGAACGACCAGCGAACACAGGTCAAAAAAAGACAAAAAAATGAACGATGTTAAAAACCGAACAAACCTGCCAGAACTCTTTCGTGCGGGCGGTAAAGCACCACCGCTCGTTGAAGGCTATTCTTCTATATAAACACTCGGCCTGTGAAACGAGGCGTCTACACTGGGGTCTCAGGCCAACCGCCCAGCAAAACGGCGCCAAAAGCAAATCATCTCAGGGACTAGCATGTTGCAATGAGCCGTGGGGCAAATGGACCCGTTTTTCGTCCTATTTGCGTGGATGGAGTGTCTAAGGCGCGGACCGTGGCACAACAAGCGTAGATGCGGGCGTTTCGAAGTGTTTCGCCCAAAGGCACGCTAGTCGAGGGATCGACGCGCTTGTACCTGAATAGGAGGGTAGCACGTGCAACATCATCTAGAACAACGACAACGCACCAAGGAAAACTTACTGTTTACTCGTCTTTTGAGATACTCGATAACATCACGCAGTACTGAAACATCGCATGCAGTCTTCCTAACTTTCGCTCAACTCCTATTTGCTCATCGCAGAAACCTGACGACTCCTGTGGTTGTGAATTCACTCTCTTCGACGCGCATCTTGCCTCCGACTTGCATATGACAGGCGGAAGTATCCTTACTTCATAGAACTCTATAGAGACAAAAGAGTATTTGCATAGTTAAGCCCTGACTCTATTGACAAACAGTATCGTCCAACCGTTGTTGTCGTTGAGCTTGCTATTCGTCTTGCGAGTCAGTCTAAAGACGGGAGAGTGTCAGGACCCAGGCCCATAATTACTGTAGCTCTTGGCAACCCAATTCAAGAAATGCGCAGATGAACCAAGTATCAAGGGGATATCGAAATATTTACAAATGGTATATTCCAGATGGGCTGATGGGGGTCGAGAACAATGATTGGAGAAAGGGGGGTGGGGGGGAAACACAGCCTGCCGATGCGAGCTAACGTATGAAATGCCGATTGCAAGAGAGTTCGCCTACTTACTTACTAGAGACTACAGGTTTCTTTGAGCGATGAAAAAGTCAGTTTCGTTAGTATAGTTAGCCACGACCCCATCATGCTACGACGTTGGACCCAACCTTGCTTGACGGGCTACGCGACCAGGCATCAGCCTTGTTTTGGCGTGCGCATCGTCGTTCGAGGCAATGTATCTCGGCGTAGCCTTCCGAGGCAGTGCTCACCGTGCGGCCGCTTGCAAGGCGAAGTTGACGTTGACATTCATGACTGCCAGGGCAAAAGAGGAAAGGCTGCCTGCTTCGACAGAGACTATCCGGATCAGAATCAATACGCTTAGAGATTTCAGTCCCAATGTATGCAGACATTCCCATAGAGTTTGCTGTTGAGCCGCGTCAGCGTGCAAATTCCAGCGTCATTTCCAGGGTCATCGAGGACTGAGGGACTTAGGTGGACCCCGAGGCTGGATTGTAGGCAGCTCACTGATAGAGTATTGAATCTTATTACTCATACCGTATTCGCTTCATGCAAAGCTGGAGGGGATACCGTAGCGGGCACTTCAAACGATACACCCTTCTAAGTAAACTTACCTACGCGTTTGAAAGATCAGCGAACAACTTCACTGACGTACAGTTAAATCCGACGCATCCGAAAGCCGGCTTGATCTGTTTAATCAATGGTCGCTAATGTTTAGTGCCTTGCGTGTGTCTCGAATTGGCGAATACGATGGTAATGACGTGTTGAATTGGACCATGTCAGCGACTCAGAGTAGGTAATCTCAAGTTCGCTCTAATCTGTTTCAACGTCACAACGCGCAATTCCGATAACACACGCGCCGCTTGCCCTATTCTGATATATGGTCGAAGCTTGTGTGTAGGGTTTACTAGAAGGCAACATATCACCTATGCTTCTAGTATATGGGCGTCATACGATATAAGGGAGAGCCCGCCTCCTATCTCCAACATTGAGGTTTGTAGATCCATCAACATTGCACACACCCCACGATTTCCTCGGTCCCGCCAAATTCTACTTGCCGGAAAACACGCTTGATGCCAAATCTTCATTGACACGCTGATCATTCTGCTGTAGTCGAATCCTCAAGTCCGGAACGCTAAAACACATGATGTCAGAGAGAACTGTTGATCAAAACACCAGAAATAGAAACTCGACCCCTTGACGCTGATCGACCTCACACAAGAACCAAATCCATCTCTTCACACCGCTCAATCGTTTCCGTGCCTGCTGCAAAAGTGCCGAGTCGCTCCCACGCTGGGGAGTGCTGAGCCGACATCCCCAGCACAAGACCCGCAACAACATTGTCGTACCGAGCAACGCCCAAGCACATGACCGTCCCCTCAAACCGACATACGGTGTCAGTAGTCAGCGCTCGACGCACCGTCAGTTGCTTTTCTCCGTTACTATCCTCAAACTTCGCTGCAGAGAGTAAGGAGTCATGTGTCATACGTATGGTACTCGTGCCCTTGATGATAAGATCGTACTCCCATGCCCCGCGATTCTTTTCCGCAGACAACATGCAAGATATTGTGGAACCCCGCAGAGTAAGAGAGCCGCTAGAAATGGCACCTAGTGGGTTGAGCCCAGTAGGAGTGACCTTGCAATCGACAATAGTTACTATGGGTTTAAATGTTTCGCGCTCCTCTTCATCCAGCAGCGTATATGTTATAGGCACATCTAAGCTTGCCCAGGAGAAAGAAGGGGCACGCCAATTATCTGGCGCAAAATTATTTGGACAAGCAGTATTTGACCGATTGGCATGCCATAGCATGTCGGAAGCCAAGTTGTGTTTCCAGAGTCCGGCGAGATATTCAGAGTGTGTTGCTTTTCTAATCTTACTCGCGATACCAGATATTGCAGGGAATTTGTCTGTAGCAACGGTGAGATGGCGTGCAGTGTAATGTTCGATGATGCGTTGCCACGCCTGCCACACGGCATCTGTTTTCTTGCTAGCCACCGCTTTTGGGATCAGGGAGGGCGTGGTGGGGTAGGCCCTGCGCTCCGGCATACACTCGCATCGATACGAAGTTTTGCACTCGAATAGCAATTCTGTTGCGGTGTAGTGTAGTATTCTTGTGCTGAGAACATGCTCCTGGAGCGCCCAGGCACGTGACATAAGTGGACCAACTGGTTTTGCAGGACCTCCGCCAGGGGCATGGCTTGGATGATGGTCCAGGATCTTTCGCGCTCTCAGCGCAAATTGTTTTCCAGTGGTGTTGTTGTATGGTATTTTCACAGGCTTTCGCCTTTCGACTAAGCATCGTATACTACTATTCGCAGACTGCGTTGCGGCAATAGTGATGTAGCTGTTTTGGTAGATGCTCCCCATCTTCGCTGACTCGGTCTCCCAGTCTCGAACTGAATCTTGAATAATGCAAAGGCTATCGATCCACAAGTAGCGTAAGCCGAGCTGACGGGTGATAATGATGGCATCTTGGAATAGCGGTGGAAAGGTATCAAAGGACATGTTGACCGACATTTTAGGCCAGGTTTCTTTTGTTGAAACTAGCGGCTGGGAGGATCCCCAGCAATGCGACAGAGCAGCATACTGAAAGTTCTTGCATTGTGTGTCGATGAGCCTGATTGGCGAAGAACTCTTGCCTACGTCGAGGAGACGTTTGGGAGGCGAGAAAGCCGAAGGACAAGGAAACTTGCATGCTGTATGTTTTGGGTTCCCGATGCAACCTGTTATGCAACGTCTAATGAAGTTGAAAGTGTCATCAGATCCTGAGTTGACCGGTATGTGGTGGGCAGAGCCTAGAGTAGGCCATGGAGGACGTGTCGCTGCAAGTTGTTAGATAGTATCAAGTAGCGTAGTAGATAACCAAATACTTGCTAATGCAGAGTGCTCAAGAAGGAATCAAGCATGTGATGCAAAAGCGCGGCATCCGCTATGGAAAACAGTAGCCTACCTGGTGCGGCATAAATCTCCGCAATCTCATCCTTCCAGCGCTTCCCACCAAGCGTAATCTTAATTGTAGCCTTCTCTTTAATATCAACATGCACTCTAGCTCTTGCACTTCTCCATCCACTGAAGAAAGCATCTAGCACAAGGACCACAACATAGCAAAATCTACACCCACTTTCCGTGACCTTTGCGAGGCTCAACGCATCCAGCACAAGGCTCAAACTCGCACGAGGCTCTTTCACAGCCTCAGTTTCGTAGACGGAGTTGGCGTGGCCTCTCGGGTCGAGATGGTTGCACATGCGACACTTTTTCCGTTGCGATTGGCCCGCGGACGCGGCTGGACGCACTACCGGGCGCCTGAGGCATTTTGGCAGAGGCATAACCGATTAGACGGGAAGCACAGTTTGGGTCGTCTTGAATAATGTCGGATGCATTGTAGGCGACGAATCGTCAGGCAACAATGGGAGGCGCAGGGGAATCGGCAGCCATGTGATGCTTTCAGCTTGACCGCTGGAGTCAAGCACGCTAGTGTGTATACAGACTAGCGGAGATGGGATGGTGAAATGTGGCTGTGGGGGCCAAAATACCGCTAGCGATGGTTTCATTACTCGGAATGGACTACAGTTTATTGACAAGACACGACCTTGAAATCTTTTTACTGCCATGGAAGGAAAAACAAGAAGAAGTAGTAACTTACCTCCATTCTTGAATCCTCAGTAAAATCTCCTCTACTGACAACATATCCCCAACCGCCATCACCAAACCAAAACCCCTACCCATCATCTCCCTCACAAACCACGCACCAATCAGCCTGACGCTACGACATGTCCTAACCACCCAGCCGCACCTCAGCTCCAACAAATATAGCACCACTCCTCCTTCCCCACACATGCAGGAACAACAACAAAAAACAACTTCACCCCGCCCAAGTTACCTAAACAAGGGCCCCATCGTCAATCTTTCAGCCACACTTCCCCATGATTGGCCCATCTACCTCCAGCTCCCCGCAAAACAGGTCCAGAAAGCGATATACGCGAAGCGCACACCGCAGAAATCTGCCTTGTTTGTCTGCCCTCTCGTTGCCTACCACCATACTCGCATTAAAAAAAAGTATGAGTTGTCAATTAGAAACCACTAGCGATATATGCATATCCGCAGCGCCTCAGTGACGTAAATGTGACCAATCCGCTGAGCTTCTAGCAGAAGAGAGAGAGAGAGGAGTGGGGACAAGATAAACCGGTCTGTATGCTTGTTGTCAAGCCAAGCAAACCCGAGGAAGCAATAGTAGGCGAAAAGAAGCGGCTGAAGGGGGGAGAGGGGGGACCTTGGGAGCCTAGAAGATGGAAGTTACCGTCTACGCCAGGACCATCACTACACACCATAGCCATAGCTGAACAAGTCAATCGCCATGGCACAGATGGATATGGATATATAAACCCACCCTCAGCTTCCATCCCCCCCATTCCCCATCTCCCAAGTCACATACATCTCCTACTCATCATATACAATCCAAACTTCATAGTACATAGTAAATCGTCAAAATGCACATCCCCCACGCCCTCATCACCCTAACCCTCCTAACCACCTCCTCCCTCGCCCTCACCCCACGCGCCCAATCACGCCACCCAAACTTCGCCGCAATGCTCCGCCGCGGCTCCGCCATCGCAAAGCGACAAGGCTACTACCCCACCAGCGACGTATGCAGCGGACCCGGCGACACATGCGCCGAGGCCTGCGGCGCAGAATACGTCGAGTGTCCATCTGACGGCAGCGTAACAAGTTGCCACTCAACAACAGATGGGAGTCATTGCTGTACAGATGGGACTGGAAGTACGTTCCCCCTCCTCCCCCCTCGTCCTCCTCCCATCTTTTTTTTTACCAAACATGCCATAAAACCATGTCAAGAAGCTAGATGAAGAAGCTAACACAGCGACTCTTGAATAAGATGCATGCGGTCCAGGCGACTACTGCACCCACGACAACCAAAACCAAACTTACTGCTGCCCCGAGAATCTCAATGCAGAAGAGTGTGCAAAGCAGCTTGGGCTCGATGTCCCGCTTATCCCGGATTCCGCAGAGACGACGACGCCGGTTGCTGAGGCTACGGGGGTACCGTCGCTTTCGCCCACGCCGTCGCCTACCGAGACGGAGACGGAGAGTGCGGTTGAGACGGAGACGGAGGAGGAGACGAGTACTGTGTTGGTGTCGGCATCGCCGTCATCGTTGCCGTCTACGACGAAGCTAAGTTCGACCAAGACGACGGCTTCGCCGAGTGCGGCGCTTCCTTCGGTTGCGAAGTCGTCTTCGTCGTCATCTACTAAGGCGCCGAATGCTACGAGTACTAGCCCTGGACTACCTCAGTTTACTGGTGGAGCGGCAAAGGTTGCTGGGGCTGGGGCTGCGGTACTTGCGGCTGTTGTTGGACTCGTCATCTTGTAGTTTATAATATCCTCCATATCAGTGGAGCTGTAAGTGCTTCCAAGCTCATGTATCATGATTTATGCGGGGTTGGACATGTATCCCACGTTGGTCTACGCGGGGTGGGAGAAGAAAATCTGTATGTAGTAATGTCAATGTAATGCCAGTCATGCTTGAATACTTCTTTCACATTTCTTTCACCGTTCGGCTCTTATGCATGTAATCCCCTATTCCAGTCTTTAACCCATTCGCATGTCGGTATATACGCAATACCACTGCAGCCATAGCATACAATATCAGTAACATGACCGTTACCACTCATCAATGTCTGATGCCGAGTTAAGAGAAGAAAAGAAAGAAAGAAGATACTCTCATCTGGCCTCTCTCTGTCCTTTGCAGAGAAAAGCCAGCCAGTGACAGCAAAACGCCTAGGCTATGCAGAACATAGGAAAAGAAGCAAGGCCTACAAGACGTCTATATCAATGCTTTGCCCAGCCGCCTGAAATCCAAATGACAATGCCGCCCCGCTTTGCAACAAACCCCCATGGTGCTTGCCCGAGGCAGCGTTTGGATAACACCTAGCGCCAGTATGCATGTTAGGACAAAAGGAAAAGGAGAAAAGATACACAAGGAAAGAAACCAAACGCCTAGTCTCGCCAGGGTGACCAGATTAAACACTAGCCATGCTGTGTCTCTAAACACCGGTCCATCCCCTCCGTCTTCTGACTTGCGTTAGATATCCACAGTCACTCGCTGGGAAGTCGACACCAGCCACAACAGCCTTCTAATCCGCAGTCGCTTTACGTACCGGGGTACTCAATTCCCCACCACTAGTCTCTCTCCTACGTCTTACGATTTGAAGTCGCGGAAGAGGCGGTGCAGCATTTGTTGGTGTGGGAGTTGGTGTTCCGTTGATGGGGGCGTCATTTTCACCAACAGTACTTTGCCGTCTCCTATTTACTGCTTCACTGAGGCGTCCTTGGCGGGCTTTAGGGAGGCGAGAGTTGGATTTACTGTTGGAGTTGTTGGCTTCTATACGAGCGAGCGAAGACGCAGCGTCACGAGACGGTGGGCGAGATGGTGTGCGGGCTGCAGCAGGTGTACCCGGAACAGCAGCAAAAGTAGTGGAGCTACGGGCTAGAGCTGGTGGTTTAGAACGACCAGAAGATGGAGGAAGGACGGTGGTGGGGTCTTCGGCGAGATCCCACATTCCGTTCGAGGATTGAGAGCGTGTGATGCGGTCGCGCCCACTGCCCAATGATGTAGGCGTGCCATTCATAGGCGGTAGCATGAATGTATTCTTAAGGGAGTTTGGTGTAGGTGGTGTCAGCCCCATACCGCTACCAATCATAGTAGAACCTGTACTTGAGCCGGAGCCGTCGCGTCGACCAGCTGAAGAAGTAGGGCGCCGTAAATTCAGGTTATTGGTAGACGCGCGACTGAGACTCCGCTTGCCGTTGGAGCCTTTGTTAATGCCTGAGAGCTCTACCTCATCGCAAGCCCGGACAAGCTCTTCGGCCATTTGCCTCACTAGCACGGCAGCATCGTGTTCCATGAGCCAAGTGATTCGCTCATAGCAGCCAAAAGCGCGCACGAGCCAGCATCCTTCATCCTTTGCATCGCAAATTGTGCGAAGAATACGAAGAAAGTTGAGACGCGTTACAGCATCCTTGTGCCCAAGCTTCTGTTCAGTCCGACTGAAGATCTCTGGCACGGCAAGCGAAGCAGCGATAGGTGGTGATAAACGGACTACCTTCTGTAAAGGCTCAAGCATGTTCTCAAACGTGGAGTGCGGCAGATCGGCAGAGGTGTATGCAGAGATGACGGCAGCTGTAAAGTTTGATTGAGGAGAAAGGAGGTATTGCTCGACGCGCGCTGTCTCTTCCTGAAGCCTGCATGATTGTTAGCCTACTGTACGCAGCCAGTGAATGATAGGATGATACGTACCAAACGAAGATGGCATCCAGGGCAGTCACAGCCCAATTGCGGTCGCCCAAGAGTGATACGTAGAATGCAAGACCCTTTGCATCCCACAGCATCTTACGCGCCACCTTGCCAGAGTTGACCATCTCTAGGAGTACGGGCAAGGCAAACTCCTTGAGTGGTCCGCCTTCACGCACAACATCTTTGAGCAAGGGAATGATGTCGGACAAGGCAGCCTCCTCCTGTCTGCTCTTATTATGTCGACACAAGTTGTACATTGTGTTGAGGATCTGGTTTGAGATTTCGCGGTGGAAAGGCGGTAGTCGCTTGGGGTCGAATGTAGATCGACTCTGGCTGCGGCTCAATGCGTCCTTTTGTCGAGTAGCTTTTAGCAGATCGATAAGGATGTCGATGGCATTGGAGTTTTGGAGGGCTTCGTGGGTAGAAGAGAGGGAGCTCAGATTCTTAATGAACTTGAGCATCGTGATTTGGTGTGGTGGAGCCATTTTGCGAAGGTCTTTGAGAACGCCTGCGATTGTTAGTTGTGTTGCACAGTGTCATTAAAGAGAATGACTTACGCTTTAGAATCATTCGATCCGCCACGAGATCCTTGACATGACTCTCCGCCTGCGAGAAAATGAGGAAGATCTGAACAATTCTACCCACAATGAGTCGTGCAACCTCGCCATCTTCCTCGACCATACGGTTCAAGACTAAGCTCAGTGGATACAGCACACTCGATCTTGAGAATATACGGCAAAAGTCGTTCTTCGGCGTTGGGCCCTGCAGTTCAAACACACCGTAGACACCATTGACACCAATGAGCACTAGGTCGCGTTCAGCGTCGATATCTTCTTCGAGAAACTCTACAAGCACGTTGATACCTCCACATCCAATGAACATTTGGAGCGTTAGGGTACTTGTCTGATACATTTGTCGCACAAACGCCGCAGCCTCTTTCCGGATGTCACTTGGGAACTTCTTGGAGGCAAAATGGCAGATTGTGGGGATTCCTCCGAGGAAAGATAAACTCTCTTGCGACTCGGCATCCTCCAGGATAATGAGGTTGATGATCTTCAGAAGCGGCAGAACTACTTCATTGTGTGGCCGGGTCCCGAGAATTTCCAAGATGGGCAGCATGCCATGGCTTCGCAGGATGATTGACCGTTTGTCTGGTGACTCATGCAGTACTTGCAACAATTGGTCTGCAATCTCGAGAAGTTCATCATCTGGCTGGCTGATCTTCAAGCAGCCGACGAGGCCTTCTGTCATCTTCGTCAGTCGATCGTCCCGGTCGCGGGCAACGTTGTTCTCCAGGTTGATGTTGTCAAGGCCTTCATCCAGGTTGGCAAATGGATCAAGATCATCTTCGTCGGCAATGGTGAATGAACTTGCCATTTTCGATGTAATCATGGCAAGGCTGCTGTGTTCACTTCCGCTGTCGCTTTCGGCTCGAGTGGGGTTGGCAAGACGACCTTTGATGTCACCAAAGACATCTGAGAAGTCATCTCCTTCGTCCTCGGCGTACTTTTGAATCTCAATCTCAGACTGTGTCCGGTGCAACTTGCGATTCGACGTCGAACTTGATGATCTTTGGTGAATGTTTCCACCTGACTTCAAGTCTCGTGTTGACTTTGGACCTGCCCTCAAATCGCTTGGATGGAAGAGTCGAGGAGAGAAATTATCAGACGGCAAGTTGTTGGCAGCGGCTGCTTGCTTGGGCTGCACAGCCGGTGGCTGAGCATACTGCATGGACGCCAACTTGCGTGCAAAGGCATTCTCGTCAGCTGGCATAAGATCCGAATAGTCCTCAATCGTATCTTCACGGAAAAGCTGGCTGGGCCGCGCTGGGGCCGCGGTCCTTGGCCTTAGGGGCTGCGTAGACCGCGGTGTTGCCCGAAGGAATGCCGTTCTTGGCTGTACCTCGTGCCTGTCCTCGAACTCTGAATCGGTGGCACTCGATGCTGACCTTGAAGATCGGCCAGTGCTGCTAGATTTGGCGCTTGCTCTGTTCGCTCTTTCGCTTGATCTTTGACCCGGCGCTTTCGGAAGGCTCTGGCACTGTTGCATGCTCTTTGGGCTCTTGACCGTAGCCTCTCCGTCCCCAAAATCTGGAGTTTCGGTGACCGACTCAAAACTGGCAAAGGCCTTCAACCTGTCGCCCGAGAAGAGACCACCAAAGTTATCCTGGGGCTTGAGGTGTGGCATCTGCAGGGCACGGGGGGATATGCTCTCAGCAAAATCCTTGTCCCAATTATCGTCGTGATCCAACTCGGGAGAGCGGAATGATTCTGCGGTAGGTCTGTGCTTTGATATGTTGAGGTTGACATTGACCGCTGCCCTACGGGAGACTGCGCCGGGACCGTTTGCTGCTGAAGGAGAGGACCTATGTACTCCAGAAAGGCGAGAAGTCCTACGCAGCGAATTGGGCGACTTTAGGGCTTCATTCCACTCTTGCACGGACTTGACTGCTTCTTGATATTCGGTAGGTTTTGTGGGTACCGCAGGGACAGTGCGCTTGGCACTAAGGATCCACGGGTGCTTGAGAAGACGTTTGGCAGAGATGCGGAGTGTGGGGTTTTTCTGGAAGCACTCCATGAGAAATTCACGCAGAAGCTGCAAGGGTTAGCACGCGGACGTTTCAGGGTAACAGGGACTGCGAAGGGTTTACTAACTGGAGACGCGCTGCCAGGGATCGGCGGGTGCTCGTCATTGACGATTCTGAATAGGGCCTGCATGGGCTGTAGTTTGTGGTACGGCGGCTTTCCTTCTATCAGCTCGATGACGGTACATCCCAGGCTCCATATGTCTGACGACGTGGTGGCGCCAGAGAGCTCAATGACTTCTGGGGCCATCCAGTAGGGCGTGCCCACAACGCTCGACTGGTCTAGACCCGACTGCTTTGTTGCTACACCAAAATCGGCCAATTTGACCAAGCCCTCTTTTGTTGTTAGAATATTGGCGCCCTTGATGTCTCGATGTATGACACCCTGCTCGTGTAGGTAGAGGAGTCCGTGCAGGACTTGAGACATGTAGAGCGCGACGAGGTTCTCGGGGAATTTTCCAAAGTTCTTGCAGATGCTGTGCAACGATCCATTCTCGCAGTACCTGGACATGTTAGCACTGGGCACGGCGCAAAGGCAACCACTTGGGCAATGCTCACTCTAGAATAATATACAGGCTCTCTGAGCTCCTCACGAAGCCATGGTACTTGACAATGTTGGGGTGGTTGAGGTTCTTGAGCAGGTCAATTTCCATCTCCATGTTCTTGAGATCTGCGGCGCCCAAGTTTTCGAGGCGGACCTGCTTGATGGCAACCGTTTCGCCAGTGCCCCAATTGAGGGCGCGGTATACGCTGCCAAAGGCGCCTTTGCCCAAGCAGTCGCCCAGCTGGTAGTCCTTGAGGCCGGCGACATCTTGGGCAGCCTTTTGGGCGGTGCCTTCTCTGCTTGGGCGCTGGTCGCGGTCGCGGTCGCGGTCGCGGTCGCGAGCATGGCCATTGTGATTGGACGACGAGGATGACGAGGGCTTCTTGGAGTGGCCCCCAGGCGTGGTGGACGAGGGATGTGAGGAGCGCGAGTTGGAGGGCGCATGCGAGGGCCTTTGGGGATGTGAGACCATAATGGCTTTGGGCGGCCGTGGTCCCAGTGCCAGCAGCTGGTGACGGCCTTTTCTTATGTCCGCGTCAAGTCCGTGGGCGGCTTGTCACGGGACTGGCAGGAGTCGTGGGCGAGGTAGGGCGGCGGTGCGTGGCTCGCTGCGGTGTGCATATCCTCGAGCCAGCTGCAGCAGGAACGGCGGGCGCAGCAGCAGCAGCAGCAGTGGAGGAACAGCAACAACAACAACAACAAAATGTCAATGACAACGACACCGACAAGCGCAGTAACCGTAACGGCGTCAGGAACTGGAAGAGCCGTCGGGGGGCGTTTGCATTCAGGTCCCGACGAGGCCTACTCTTGCTGCTACTCTTGCTGCGGGTGTTGTTCGTCCATGCGCCGCTCGGCGTGGTTTGTTGGCGGGGTCCGTCGCACGCCCTGGCTGTGAAAGAGCAATTATCAGTTGGGGATCCTGGCCGCGAAACACGCTCCAAGCCTGGCCAACGAATCCAAAGGGCCGCTGCCGCCTACCAGAGACGGCTGTTGTGGCTGCGCTGAGTCGGCCGGCTCTGTCAAAAGTCGCTAGGCACGCGCGCGGTGCGAGGGCGGCGTCATGGGCAGGGCGAGGGCGAGGGCGAGGGCGAGGGCGAAGGTGAGGTTGAGATTGGCGTCGGGCAGACAAGGACAAGAGACGAGGGCGAGGCAAGGGTGGAATGTGGACTGTCGACTGTCTTCCTTCCACCGCTCCATTGACGCCGTGTGCTGTGCTGTGCCCGCCTACTTACTTACCCAGACCAGACCGCTACCCACTCGACTGCATGCCTGCATGCCCGCCCCCAGCACATGCACCCACTTCGCTTGTGCTACTCGCCCGCCGTCCGCTTAATTACATATTACCTGCTCTGCTCGACTCTGCCCAATTACTACCTGCCCAGCCCACTCATCTACCTCATCTGTCTTGCGTGCTTGTTTTCTTTTGGCTCGTTTCCCCTACTGCATGTTTACTTTTCGCCGTCTGTAGGCCAGGGCTCGCAACCCTGTCCACGCGTATTCACGTGCTGCTGCTCACCGTTCGTCCATGTACCTAGATACTTACACTTGCTTGCGCAGTACACGTGTGCATATAGGCGCAGGTACACGCCAGCTGCCTCCTTACATCTTGTTTCGTCCACTCGGTGCATTGCCCGTCATTGTCGCATCCAACCATACCTCTCACTCTCGTCAGCCATATGTTACCATATCGCCGTCAACCTTGGCCTTATCGCGGGGAATGTGGGGAACCATGACTTTTGCTTTGGCCACCCGTCTGCCAATGCCCATCGGCGCCAAACAGGAACCTTCGTCCCGCCAAACACACACACGACCCAGACATGTCTTGTCATACTCGATTGTCTCTCTCCCATGCTTCTGCCCTACGCTAATCATAATCACGTAATCCTCCACCTAGTCGACTAGTACACGCGCATATGCACCTGCCATCCAACGCTTCACACTGGCTCCGAGTCACCCCAGCCCCTTGTCCTTGTATCCTGGCCCCTGCCTCACGAGCTAACAACGTTGAGCACGCCACCATCAACCGCCAGAATCTGCCCGTTGACATATGAGTTCTTGGTAAAGAAAATCACCGCCTGCGCCATCTCTGCGTCGCTCCCGGCACGTCCGTGTGGAACGTGTCCCTTTTCCTGGATCTTCTCGTCTGGCAAGTCGCTCTTCTGCTGCTCGTCGCTCTCCTTTGCCGTCATCTCAGACGGGAAGTAACCTGGCGCAATGCTGTTCACGCGAATCCGAAGCTTCTGGAACTCGGCCGACATGAGCTTGCTCAAGTGCACCGTGCCGCCCTTGGCCGCGTTGTAGCTGAAATGGCCCTGCGCGTCCTTGATGATGCCTGACATGGAACTAATCACAATCACCGATGCAGACAGGTGCCCGTGAGTTTCGGTCCCAGCTTGCAATAGTGGTAGCAGAACAACGGTAGAGAAGTACACGGCAGTCACGTCCGTCGTGTACGTGTCCGCCCACCCTTCAAAAGTCTCGTTGTCAAACAGCTTCTTCTTCATGTCGGTAGCCTTCTCCGCGTCTGGAATCGCCTTCTCACCAGAAACTCCGGCCGACGCCACAAGCAGATTGATGTACTTTTCCTTGGATGCCAGCTCCTGGTACATTCGCTCTAGGTCGTCCTTCTTCGTCACATCACAAGGTGAGAGGGGTATTATCTGGCCACCTTCATCGGGGTTGTGCGACTTGGCTGCCGTTTCAAGCGCTGTCCATTGAGTCAGCTGAGAGGTCGGACATCGCGACAATCTGAATAAGCTTTGTCTTACCTTCTTGGCGACGACCAGTAATGTACACCTTGACTCAATGGTCAGATATGCCTAGCTATCTACATTACCATGACTGAGACGTACCTTTGCACCATTGGCGGCCAGCGCCTGGGCAGCCATCAATCCAATGCCAGAGCCTCCTCCAGTGACTACGCACACGTAGCCCTTGACGGAAAAGAGCTTCGCGACATGGAGATCATCTGTACTGGCTTTGGCAGGCATGGTGAATGCTTGTGTTGAATTTTTCGTACGGCTTATGTTATGAAGTGAATTCGAAGGTCCAGGGACTTTTTTGAAAGCTGAGAGTGCAGAGGAAAAGTCAGACTCAACACCGCAGAATGGCGTAGCAGTTCGCTTGGTGTTTTTGGTTTATGACGTACCTGTGTAAACAGCCCACCACGGCTCAATGGAGCTTAGGGTGAACTCTAGCGTGGTCTATGCTCTTTCCCTATCGGGCCACGGAGAATATTGCAGTTCAGACGCTTTGCACTCTTCGACTCCAACTCTCGCGTCGAAGCCGTCCAATCAATTGCCAGCCGCACTATTGGTATACAACCATCTTGGCTAGGAGTTCTCATTCGCTTGGTTGCGCCTTTCTTCAGTTTTCGCTACGCCCGTTGTCACCCATTACTGGCATATCGTGAACTGCTGTCTGTCACTATCAACATTCGCTACCTGCCATATACGTACATTCACCTTCCCGGCAGTCCATACTCACTCCACGTATAATCTGTGGCAGACATCTATGCACCGCTCAGCATACTCTTCAGCAAGAAAGCTTTGATGAGAATTTCGCTTACGGCCGGGCCACCATGGAGCCCCGGATATGTTCGCCTTCTCATGAGTGGAATGTCCCTTCCTCCGTTGCATTCAGATCACATGATCAGATCTGGACTGAACCATTAGATACTCCCGGATATGTTCCGCGTCATCTCAAACGCGCCGCAACCAACCAATTCCCGATTCTGGAGCTTATTCAGCGCCTACTGTACCGCCTTAAACCTAGCGGTATGGGTGAAGTGGAGAGAATACTTGCTTTAATTGGTCTATACCGAGCGTTGTACCCAGCTTATACGTACCTAAAGGATTTTTGTATGTGGATGTGTACTGTACAAGTCACCATCCCAGAAGCTGATCCTGTCGCAAAAGAGATACTCGCTTGGATAGGCTCAGAAGTTATCGCAAAAAGTCATTCAAGAAATGCTATGCTCATTACAGGTGGCATGCAAAATTCTCATCAAGCATTTCCCCGTGTAATGATGCCCGCGCCTCCAGGAGCAGCAACGCACAAAAAGGACGACGATATCTTTTGCCTCTCACCAATTGGTACACGACTCTTCTGGATCGGCTTTCGCCCATTTTTCTTCTGCCGTCGGGGTGTCCAGAGCTTTCGGAATAACGCATTAACATCCAGCAATACAGTCCACGATAGCAGCCAATTTCAAAATGTCATTACTCTTACCACTCTAGGATGGAGTCTCAAGCCACTCCAAAACTTTGTGGAAATGTGCCATGGTTTCAAATTGAAGCACCTTACTGGCACCACTACAGTTTACTTTGCAGGCATTAGCCGCAACGACCCTTACGGGAGTGGTTGGTACGTTCGACATACAGATTATGCCCTGGTTATCATTGTTCACCTTTCTCAGGCAATCCGTATCCAAGGCCGTCCGCAAACTCGACACCATCGACATGGACGAAGACGTCAAATCAGATATCGTCAAAGATGCCGAGTACTACTACAGTGATGAGTCGTAAGTTTGGATTACGCCACGCCACGCACCCGTATCTAACCCTGCGTTTCGATTATGCGGACTGGATCCAGGTTTAATACTTACACCATCTTAGGCGCGCCTTTTTCGCCGACTGTGGCATTCCCTACAGACGCGGATATCTCTTCTACGGACCCCCCGGCACTGGCAAGAGCTCCTTTAGCGCTGCGCTCGCAGGGCATCTTAGATGCGATATTTACCACATTAGTCTATCGAATGGTGCCATCAGCGACGACACTCTCCATCGGCTCTTCTTGGGCCTACCACGCAAATGTATTGTGGTCATTGAAGACATAGATTCCGCAGGTATCGGCCGCGAAAACACCGCCTCGCGAAGAGCAGTACGCGAAGAGCGAATGCACCGCTATATCCCGAACGACATACTCGAAACAGAAGCCTTTGAAGAACTGCTACCTCGAAGACGTCCCACATCCAATTCATCCTCTCGCAACCTAGTCACTCTAAGCGGCCTCCTGAACGCCATAGACGGCAACGCTTCGCAAGAAGGTCGACTACTCATCATGACATCCAACGACCCCAACGCCCTCGATGCTGCCCTTACACGTCCTGGTCGCATAGACAAAAAAGTGTATTTCGGTAATATGACGAAAAGTGCCGGAAAGAGCATCTTCAAGCGCTTGATAGGGCGATCTGCAATGGCGTATAACTCGGGCTTTACTTCCACGCAAATTGAGATGTGGGCGGATGAGTTTGCGGAAAAGGTTCCGTCGAATACTTGTAAGTCATGATAATTTCATACCAAACAATAAACTGATTTTTTGCAAGTCTCTCCAGCTCAAGTACAAAACTTCCTCCAGGGCTGCCGCGGTGACCCAATCAAGGCGTTGAACGATGTCGAGGCGTGGATTGCGGAGAATCGACCTACACGTGTAAGTGGGGCATTTGATAGCAAGTTTGACTTGTCGCTTTCGGGAAGTGAGCCAGATTCAGGGTGAGCAATGCTAGGCCAGGATGCGGATGAAAAAAGAAGGTCACGTGAGGGTTTCAACGCACCAGCTGGCCGAATATGTACAATATGTAAAATACAAGTACGCAAGCAAGGTAAACACATGTACAAATATTACTGTTAAAAAGCATAAAGCACGATCAAGCAACTACAGTACCAACGCGATCAAGAAGAACAAAAGGACAAAGTCCCAAGACCCAATGATTTCAGAACAAAACTATACACTTTGATTGCCTATCTACATTTTCTTCATATTCCACATTACATTACCAATCGCTAATTCTAAAGGAGTGTCATAATCATCCATCACCATCGTCATCATAATCATCTTCTCTTCTCAACCATCAACACTTTTTTTTCTCTTGCCTCCTCTTACCACTTTTCACCATCATTAAAACGAAAAAAAGAAAAAGAAAAAGACATTACTCATTCCCCCTCCCTCATCACTAAATCCTTCTCCCACCCTAACACTGACGCACATACAACCCAATAGGACTAGGGTTATAATCCTGAAAATACTCGAGGGCGAAATTGCCCTCAGCACACATCTCGTACGCAATCGTGGCTCCCGCCTCACATTCGTCCGTCTCAACGTACCACGCACTCCCCGGGGAGAGATCGAACGAGGTGCTGTCGCCATCCTTCTTTGGCTGATTATTCCACGTAGTGCCCTGGCTCGCTGGGCCAGCGAGCGGGGACACGGTGACGTGGCCCGAGCCGGAGATGGTGTAGTCTGAAGTTTGGAGGTCGGATTTTTTGGGGAAGAGGAAGATGGCGGAGCATGTTTTGCCGGCGTAGGAAGGTGGGATGTCGAAGTTGAAGATTGTGCAGGTGCGTGAGTCGATGGTGGCGTTGTATTGGGTGCCGTAGGCTTGATCGGGGTGGTCGGCGTTGATGGGGACGATGAGGTGGGGGTATTGGTATGCGCCCTTGAGATCCAAGGGGCAGGCGTTGGGAGGGGTGTAGGGGTAGGAGGGTTGCGGTGTAGGGGAAGGGGAAGGGGAAGGTGAGGGTTTGGATGGAGGAGGGGTGGTGCTGGCGCCGCAAGAGCCGGCTGCTGCGAGGGAGATCTTGACGCATTTTGACTGGCCGGCGACGGGCTGTGAGTAGACGTTGTAGACACCGTTGTCGTTGACGGGGCAGGCGTAGAAGGTACCGGAGCCGTTGTAAGTTACGCTGCCGTCGGATCCTACTGCGAAGCCGTATGTGGGTGAGGCACCGACGTCGCACTGGAATTGCGTTGTGGGAGGTGTCAGGATGCAGCCTCTTCCATTGGAATCGGTAAAGCCGCCATCGCATAGGCAGTAGCAACCGGTGGGCAGGTTGTCACCAATGCGGTTCTGGCCGTCGCCGAGCTGACCGAGGATACCTTGAGCGCCGCCAGATGCTTTGAGTGTGTAGCATTGGGTATCTGAGCGAGCGACGAGGGCGTTGGCACCAAGGCCGAGCGCCAGAGGAACAAAGGCGTATCGCATACTGTAAGATGGAACGAAGGTATTATAGAGATTATATTATGAACGTCAAAAGTGTCTATCAGGACATGGAAACTGGGAGGTCTTTATACGTTTTGTCTTCTCAGATGAAGGAATAAAACCCAGTGAATACCTCCGGTTTCTCCAGTAATACGGGTCCAGATACCCTGTTAGGGTCGTGGCAAGCGTTGACGGTCCACTACATCGGCAAATCGACAGTCGTGATGTCAGGGTGTGTAGTGTACGCCCGCACAAGCATTTGGTGGATCTCGTGTCCGAGGTGGCAAGGACCCAGGAAGCCCGATCAGTTGGCTTCGATAACGTGGCTGATGGATACGAGCGGGAATGTTGCGGCCTCAAGTAACGCAAACCACCGTGATTGGTTGCTGACAATAAAAAGGTTTCCGGAGAGCCGTGTCTCTTGATGATCAACGCCTGGGTTCATAGACTTTGGTAGCCTGGAAAAGAGTCTTCAACTCCCAAAGTCGCTATTCAAGGTTGTTTTGAGTAGGTGACTTCTAGCAAAAATACCCTAGGCTATACATGATGCTAACTATTAAGACAGAAACTTGAAACAACCATTTACTCAGACAACGCTGTGTTCTGGCAGTAAGCAGGCCGTCGTATACATCCATGTCGTAGGGCTGGTATTGGGGTACGTGGTGGTCAGAAGTAAGATCCGGCGGCACTGTCGGAGTTGCTGTCAATTCTTACAGGAAAGCTATTGGCACTAACCTTGTCAGTGAGCAGGACACGATGAGGTTTCCAAATACGGTAATTCACCGTTGCCGAATGTTCCGTAGGCCCAAAAATACATGTACGATGACAGAATAAGCATTTCATGCAGGATACCCCGCGCTTGGTAGTTGCTTAAGGTATTATGTGGGGCGGAAGGGCGGCGTGGCATTATACAAAGCCAGACATTCGTAGTTCAAGCTAGTCGGCTACATGTAGAAGAAGCGGTGGAAGAATGACGACTACACCAATCTAGGTCTTGGATGCCAAATCATCACAAGCTGGAAAGAGGGAGCGTATCCAAAGTAACAATATTGACGGAACCGTTCCGACGCCTAAACTTTTAGGTTCGTTCCGTGATATTTTGAGATTTTGAATTTTTTGTCGTGGAAGGCAAAGAAATTTGCGGGGAAGACACTTGTTGATCACGCGATGCTGAATCTATGCGTCACGTCCCCCAAGTGGATTGGAGACGATTGGAAAGGTACCACCGTCTCGGTAAAAGCCCAAGGCTTGCATTCATCAGGCTAGAGTTTCCTGTCAGACATGACAATCAGCCGCAAATTCCATAGTCTTCGATCGATATGGGGTATAGCGTAGAAGGATCAACTAGTAGTGCGGTCTCTCGGATCCCAGCCACCCGGATCAGTCCTTTTACAGTGGCCGAGAGCATGTGCGGTTCTTAAGAGCCCCGTGACGCACTGATAGGCTCAGAGTATTGATGACGGATCAGCGCAGAGGTGATATGCTGGCAGAAGTGTATAAAAAAGATGGTCATCTCTCGTATCCGGTATACATCGGCTTTGGGCTTGATAGTTGTGGCCGGATGGTCGATCAGATGACATTCAACCCGGTGGCCGGACGGACGATATAACGCGGGAACGACGAGCCCAATAACCCTTCAGGACTGATTCTTGAACTATTGGTCATGTGTATTCGTACGATTGTGCTGGAAATTGCTAGCATCATGAAGAAATTCAAGTAGAGGAAGGCGGAAATAAGGCCTTGATGGTCTGCATATGTTTACACTTTACGTCACCTGCTTACCTTGATTGAGCCTAATCAATCGGACGATCGGGGCGTGTCGCTCAGCCGGAGTCTTCCGCCACTTTGAGATATTAAATTACCATAAGAACGCTGTTCTTCCCAAGATTTGGGAAATTCTACGTCAACCAGATCCTGGGACATTGCTCTTTCAGTGAGTTCTGGTTTACGTTCAGAAAAGGTACTGCCAACTAGGTTTTTATTTTTACATTTACGGGGATGTTTGGATCTCATCGACGCACATCGTGTTCAAGAAACTCTATCATCACCTTTCTGCTCCCAGAGAAATTCCCGCAACCCGCAGATAGACTTTATGTATCCGAGCGTGTGCGCCAGTGCACATGTATGTTCTGGTAAGTTGCTAGGGGCGACATTAGCCCTACAGACTTTTCTCGGGGTAAACCACTCTTTGGCGGCTCACGTTGTTGCCTATGACAACTTTGACTCAGTACTTTAGGCAGGCGATACCACTTTCACCTATAATTCCACGACATGTATGCGTATATGATATGCTTAAACAGATATTGACAGAGAAGCCAAGACCTAATATATAAAACACGTCAAGGTTGGAATTGGCTATAGAAACTACCGAAAGCATCAGGAAATCGATTCTCATTAAATGTCACTTAATTGTATCTTCATTTTCCTGTGAATTACTAATGTACATATCTGGATTCGAGGATGCCCGTGAAAGACAGTGATCCGAAGTAGCGAAGCAATAGAAAACAGAATCATACCAGTCGCGACATACTTATTCCTATATCCCCTCCAAATGTTGAAATTCAAGGTAAGGCACGTGCCTTTAGGGATATGTAGAGTAGAAATATACAGTTAGCCACTCACCCAGGGTAGTTAAAACCAAGAGTTCGCCGCATAGCTTTTGACACCAAGTGAACAAACCTACGGCTTGCCCTCCCAAGCCTTGGTAAGATACTCCTCCAAACCCATAAACTTATGATCGGGAAACCTCTCATTCCACTCCGCACTCACATTCCACGACCCGTTCAGAATCGCCTGCATAAACATAATCACAAACGCCTTTGAAAAAACATCCTGCTGATCCGCCGGCACAGTCGGATGCGTAAATGTCGGAATCCAACTCGTCTTGAGCTCTCCCGCCTTGATATCAGCACTAGATACCCGCTCAATCGACCACTCCCCGCCCCGCAACTTCTTCCCCAGCGCAATGATCTCGTTAATAGTGGTCTGGCACCCCCTTATCCCACCAACCTTGGGCCAAGGCCTCTCCGTATCCGCAAGCGCCTTTGCAAGAATCGCAGCATCGTCTTGCATGGCCGTCAGCACAATTGGCTGATCTCCCTCGTCCAGTAGCATCGCACGCCTGTTCTCATAATCAACGAAGAAAGGCCAGGTGATGAGCTCAGGCTCGAGCGGGTACGGATGCGCAAAGTAATCCATGAAGATGCTTGGTTGGAAGAGGCAATATTGCATGCCATTCAGCTCGCCTTTCGCATCTAGGTCTTCCAGGTAGCTACGGACTTGGTCTTTCACATCGTAGGTGGGTATGCGGCTGTAGCTGGCGATGCTCCATTCTGAGGGGGCGAAACGGGATACGCCTGCTGTGATGCTAGCGTGGATGAGGTTCTTCTGTCCGATGTTGTCGACGTCGAGGTGCACGACGAAGAAGGAGAGGACGGTGTGGACGCCATGCAGGGCTGTTGTTAGGGCATCGCGGGAGGTGTAGTCGACTTGGAGGTAGGAGACTCTAGGGGAGGGGTGTGGCTTTGAGGGGGCGGAGCGCGTGAAGATTATGATGTCGTGTTGGTTGGAGGCGATTATTTCTTTGAGCATGCAGGTTGCGACGTCTGGTGGTGGGAGATGTTATTACAATGCAATTTATTTCACGATGATGTAAAAATTGGAATATACAAGTGGGGTATTTTGGACATTGGGAGAGACAGCATACTTCCTGTGCCTCCAGCTACCGCGATTTTGACCATGATTGTTGTTTGATTCAATACCAAACAGTACCCAGAGAAAAACGTATTTCTTGAAAGATACTTGAAAAGAATCTCACAAGTCTTTGAATATGTTGTACTTATCTGTCGTTGTGTATTTGTCATACAGTTGTGGGGCGAAAGGTGGAGAAAGCAGGTTACTTCGGGGAGCGAAAGGTGGAGAAAGCAGATTATGCCGGGTAATATCGTGCAGCATAGGTAAGGCCGATTGGAGGATATCTATAGCTATCTCTAAGGATTCGCATCGCAACTTCCATGAATAAAAACAGGATACAGTGACTAGTGATGGAATAGAAATAGTAAAGCTGACATGTCAAATGCCAAATGGGTATATGCCAATGTAAATGAAGAAAGATTTCACTGTAACGTTACCGCCCTCATGTCTCGATAAGAGGAACTTCAGGTAATGGCTTCTCGGGGAGGGGTTTGCTCGGCAAAGGCTTCATCGCCTCCTCGTACGCTGGTGGTCGTGATGAACTGCCGCCTTCTTCTGGATCGTCAGTGTACCTGGCTTCTCTATTCAACAGAGCACCCTCCTCTTCGGCTATCCTTTCTCTCCTCATGTTCTCCCATACGTCCTCCATGCCGTCCCACTTCATAAGTTCGCGTTGTGCCCTAATCCACCTAAAAAGCTTGTAGAAACCAAATAGCGCAAGAAGGCCAGCAACAACGCTGAAGAAAATAATCCAGAATAAGTCCCAGAACTGCCAGTGCACGAATTCACCAAACATATCACGCAGTGTGCCTGACTTTCCGTAGCGACCCCATTCTTCTTTGCGGTATAAGAAGCGACTTCCCTCTACTTGCCAGACATCGTTTCCAAGGAAATGACCGATTCTGCCCCATAGAGACAAGGGTTTGTCTTCTGGAAAGGTATATGCTCGAGCTACGAGGCGCATGTCGACGATTTGGTATTCGTATCTCTTGTCTTCGGGGTCTGACTGGCCATTGAATGGATCAGCAGCCTTGTTCCCTCCACCACCATTGCTCTTTCTTGCTTTCAGAGGCATTCCCTTGACCAGCATCCAGAGCATCTTTTGGTTGGAATCATCATACTTCCAGAGTGGATCATCGGGATACCTTGACCTTCCAATAGCGTCTAGTGAAACATTCCAGTATTCGGCATCGTCCTGCTCGTCGTCGCTTTGGGACTGGGTTGATTCGGCGGTGTAAAGATAATCAAATTCCATGCGTGTTTGCGGCCAAAGCGGAGTCTTTAAGCACCATTCAGCGGAGTCGACGTCA